AAGGCGAGGCCGAAGGCCGAGCGATAGTTCAAACCCCGTGAGTTACCATAGTTAAACTTGTGTTGCGTCAAAAAGCAAAAGTGCCTTGCGACAAACGAGAACGCCCCCTGTAATTTTTGCGAGGCCGAAGGCCGAGCTCCGAATGCGAGGCCGCAGGCCGAGCGCCGCGTAGGGCGAAGCCCGGAGCGGCCAGCATCGCAGATCTAGCTTTTGTAGCCCGCGTAGCGGGCGACCAAAGCTAGTTATTTTTATATAATTACACTTATAATTTTAAACTTCAAGTCAATTTGACAAGTCTCACAAATTTTCATCGTCCACATAATTTTGCTAAAATAATTTGTTTCAAAGATTGATTTCAAACTTGTATAATCGTGAGAATAAAGTTGGTTTCATGGGCTTGTGAAATAATGTGTATGATATTATGAACACGTAAGTGATTATGGTGTAATGAGGATCATTTCGATTTTTAGCTGTGAATGCAGATTTATAGGGCTAAGAAATCCTTAAAACACAGTGCAAAAATTTTTGTTCTACGACAAAAATTGACGAAGTTATGGCCAAATTACTAAAAAAGTTCACTGACCGCCCGGCGCGGGGACGATGACGTCATTATATCCGATCCGAACGCTGCCGGCGTACTGCGTGGATAGAAAATATTTTTTTCTAGCCAAATTATCAGTTTTAGAGAAAAACTTGTAATGACATTTATTCATCAGAATAAAGTAAGCTATCGATAGGTAATTTGGAGCGGAGCGGAGAGGAGCGGAGCGGAGGGAAAATGTTTTGAATGCTATTACTGACATGAAAATTTGCATATTCGTAAATATTATTTCTTAGCAACATCTTAGAAAATTCAGATTAAAATAAAAACTGCCTAAGGCGGGAATGAGGGCTATCGTTTTTATACTTAACAGTTGGCACCCCTGGCGATTAACAGGACCTTACTCTACAGTGGCGCTGTAGCCGCCAGTGACCACAATAAAAATCGTCATCGAATAGAAACAATGAATGTTTGCAGCCGAAGCCACAAGCAACTTTCTGCACAGAAACAGGAATGTGGCCCTGACAAGAGCCGTTGCATAGCTCTGAGAAGAGCTGTTTTGTGTAACCACTGCACGTCGCACCGTCCCTCATCACAGCACCAGCACCGCTCGCACCACTGTCACCAAGCAGCATCACCAACGCCCACGTGTGGAGCGGCGAGCCGCGTGGGCACGCGCCGCGTCGCGCTCCGGTGCACACGTGCGTCCTGCGCCGCTGCCCGCCGTCGAAAAGATCGAAGCCGGGCAGTGGGCACTCCAGTCGACACCTCCCCTCGCATTCCGCGCGCGCGCCGCACGACAAACACCACTGTACATGTTTGCCCTAGCAAACCAAGCTCTATGTAAAGCGTTTAGGATTGAGTATTGCTTATTACCCGCATCCGACGTTGCCAAACGAGCGCTACGTTTGGCAACGTCGCATTTTAGTCAATTTGAAACCCAACAAAGAATCTCTACAAAATATTATATGGGGCTTCGTGTAAAATTTGAACTAGCGATTGCCCGCTCTAAGCCCTGATTGTTTCTTATTGGTCGTAGTAAAAAATACAGTGGAATCTCTATAACTCGAACCTCGTTAAGTCGAAATCCTCAGTAAGTCGAAAAAAATTGCCATTCCCTTCCGCTGAGCACCTAAATACGCGGTATCTCGAATTATTTAGACTTTGTAACTCGAACAAAATGTTATTTCCCTACGAAGTATTGATGATACATATTTATACTCTATAAAAGAAATTAAACACTATTGTGACTGTGAAACATGCGTTTATTATTGTTAGTGGTGACTGTTGGATTAGTGAAGTGTCATATTTCTGTACAAAACGGCAATGAAAATTTTTTAATTGAAAGGGAACCTGAAGCACAACCTGAAGAGAAAGGTAAAAAATACAAACCTGACTGGGAAGACTTGGATACGCGGCCTCTCCCTCGGTGGTATGATGAGGCCAAAATAGGCATTTTTCTTCACTGGGGCGTATTCAGTGTGCCTAGTTTTTACTCTGAATGGTTCTGGAATGATTGGAAGAGTATGTATTTTTTTATTTATTTTATTTGTTTTGTTAAAAACAAAATTTATTTTCTGTTATTTTTTTTTTATGTTTTACCTACCTCACATTAAAATATTTCTTCTGACTCTAGAGAGCGAGTGACTATTTTTAATTTTATTACATTCGCACTTCAGACGTTATAATCAAATGCTGTTACTTACTACATAACTTTAATTTTTGTTTCTTTAAATATTTACCTAGTTTAATTTTTTTCTACAACCAGTTACCACTTTATTATCAAGGGTAAGGGAGGTAGTTTTATAAAAGTTTAAAAACTTAAACAATTATGTAATGAGATAGCAACCTATCTATTAAATTAATCTTAATGTAACTGATCTAAAATCACAATTTTAACAAAAATATTTTAGATGGCAACGTTAAGGAAATTACTGAGTTCATGGAGAAAAATTACCCACCAAACTTCTCTTACCAAGAATTTGCTCCAATGCTAAAAGCGGAGTTCTTTGAACCAGAGAAGTTTGCAAAACTCTTTCGTAGAGCTGGTGCTAAGTGAGTTATTAATTTTCTTTCTATTTGTGTTATTTATTTTATAATGTTCAAACTGCTAGCTATAAGCTCCCAGTCAATTTATACTGTTTGTAGGTATTCATAATACAGGATAAGTTTATCTTCTATGTACAAGGATAATACTTAACGAGAAGGCTATAAATAAGTTAACAATTATTATTTCAATTTACAGGTATGTAGTTTTGACAACCAAACATCATGAGGGATACACATTGTTTCCTTCAAAACGATCATTCAACTGGAATTCTGTAGATGTTGGCCCTCATAGGGACCTAGTCAAAGATGTCAGTGACGCTGTAAGGAAAGCTGGCCTGAAATTTGGTGTTTACCATTCCCTTTATGAATGGTACAACCCTATATACTTGAAAGATAAAGCTGCCTCTTTTAAAACACGAGATTACCCAGATACAAAGCTCTGGCCTGATATCAAACAGCTTATAAACGACTACAAGCCATCGGTGCTGTGGGCTGATGGTGACTGGGAAGCCAACGACACATACTGGAAATCAACCGATCTGCTATCATGGCTTTATAACGACAGCCCCGTCAAGGATGACATAGTGGTTAACGATAGATGGGGGGTGGGTATCCCTTGCCATCATGGAGATTTCTATAACTGTGAAGACCGTTACAACCCAGGTAATGTTAATGTTACTCAACAATATTGTTTATTATTTTATCATTGTATTAACACTGCGAAGGTGCATTGCATTGCACCATTTTCCCTTCATAAGATAAGTATTTACTAGGCACTCTATTGAAGATTATTGACCTCGTCTTCTAGAGTAGGTATTACAAACAAGATTATTATTGAGATTGTGTTCATTACCAATCACTAGTTAGTGTTAATTATAAATATCAGTCTTAAAATTTGTTTACACTGCTACCCAACTTTTTTGTAGGTCGCCTAGTAAACCACAAATGGGAAAACGCGATGACGTTGGACAAAAAGTCTTGGGGCTACCGACGAAACATGGAACTTGATGACGTTAAAACCATACACGAATTATTGCAAGACGTCATATCTACAGTCAGCTGTGGTGGTAAGACAGAACTTCCTTAGATCATAATCACAGAATCATAATAATATTATGTAACCGCCTAGCCTAGCATCTAGGATGCGCGCCATTATATCGTCTTCTCGAGGCATTTTATCGATTTTACACGATATGCATATATCGTCATCCATATCCATACATGTCGTCTAAAATCATCGATAAGATTTATCATGGCGCGCATTCTAGCCCGGCTGGTAATTAATTGCAAGTTTTTAATAGAAATCTGAAGCTAATAAAGGCAGCCTATGACCAAGAGTCATGTCTTTCTTATAAATATTGTCCTTTCTAGGCAATGTCTTGATCAACGTAGGCCCAACCAAAGAGGGTACCATAGCCCCGATATTTGAGGAGAGACTGGAAGAACTTGGCGACTGGATAGAGGTCAACGGAGAAGCGATATACGGGACCAAGCCCTGGACAGCTCAAAACGATTCCTATAGCCCAGATGTCTGGTACACCTGCACTGGGAAACATGATAGCTCTGACGTGACAGCGGTCTATGCGATCTTCCTGCAATGGCCTGATACGAATACACTGTATCTGTCAAACATTACAGAAGTAGTGGCGAAGCCGCATTGGCATATTGAGCTGTTGGGAAATGAGGGAATTTACTTGGCGGTAAGTACTTTTAAAATGTTTGCTAGTTTTAAATAAATACCTCCGTCATGTAATAACAAGGATTCTCGTTACTGAAGTTCCGAGTTTGATACCCAGGTGTAATATTACTTAAGCATATGATTCTAGTTTGCTTGGGACATGGGTTGTGACCTTAATTCACGCAATAATTAAGAAAACAAATATTCCCAAACAGTATTTTGTTTAATTTAGTGTTAAGTTTATCCAGTCATGTTAAAGATTCCATTATCTGTTTGACCCGATGTCGGACTCTTTGTTTTGATGATCAACAGAAACGGTAGTTCATTCACACGAACTTTGTTTATGTTTGTTATAATCTTGTTAAATAACCATACTTTACATATTTTGTATTTACGCTCGTAACTTAAGTCGACAAATCTCACCATTGGCACAAGCTATTTAAGAAATATTGTAAAATTATTAGTCAGTTTGTCAAAACTAAACTATTTTAAAAATATGTTAAGTCTAAAAGGAAATTATTATATTTTCAGTCTGAGAAGACACCGGACGGCAACGTCGCTATTTACTTGCCAGAACTGGAGACAGTAAAGTCTAGAAATGCTTGGACCCTCAAATTTTCCTGCAGTACATGCGGCCCTCAATACGACCAGGATTTCATGCACAAAACTACAAGAGATAAAAGTTCCAACATCATCGAAATCTGAATAGCAATAGACAACAGATGCCTCTACATAATCTTAGAACATACTAAAATGTGAATTTTATGTCGAAATCTACGTTATACACTCTTAAATCACTATACTCACAAATTACTGATTAATCACCAAAAATTAACAAAACGTTCCCCGAATCCGTAATATGTTATGGTATCATTAGATTTTATTTTATTTTATTAAATAGAATAAGATATAGCTAGTTTATGACTGGAAATTAAATAAGTGAAAAGAACAATGGTTTCTTATTTTATTTTTTCACCAGCAATGTACCGAATAGTATTGCTTATTTGAGTCGTCTAGTTTCAAAACCCGCTAAAACGCTCCTGCAACTAATTTCTGTTTATATCTCTAAATGATGCTACTGCAATTTTCTCATCATACTGTTCAATCATTTTCGATCAAAATACACTAAAAGACTACTAAACTAGCACTTAAAATTAGGTTTGTGTTACAAACTCCGCTAAAACGCCGTCCGTTTCTTTCAAAACCCTCTAAAAGTTGATTGACCAATGGTAGCACGGTATTTTGGTCACGTGACTGCGAAATCAGTATGGAGATTTTTTTATAACGTAGTTGCTTCATAATTTGCTCTTATCAAATCCCGCTAAAATACAACATGTCCGTTTCAAATCCCATTAAAACCGAATGTTCGTAACAAAATACGCCAAAATGAAAATAGTTTTCATTATAATTCAAATTATATTTAATTTAAAGATAAATAGCAATTACTGTTAGTATTGCCAGATGACAATAATAATTTGTATCATATTTTTTTTTGCCTAAGGCCAAAGCTATATGGATAAGCGGTTTTTTTCAATTTCTCGAAATCTTATCAAAATCGTTTTAGCGGGATTTGAAACTAGACGCCTCATTTATAGATGGATTCTTTTGAAATTTTTTTTAGGCTTTATTCATTCTTATCAGAAGAAAATAGGGCATTTTCGTTTACTTGTGTTGTTCAAGAGTGGACTTGGGAGTGTACTTAAGTAAACATTATTCTAGATATAGATAAACCTAATTTTTGACCCCATTAGACATGACCGATAAAATAGTGTGATGGTGTTTAATCTTACAACTGAAATTGGTTTCGAGATTCGATATTATTAATCTATTGAATTCCGAAATTTATAAATGCACATCATTACTATCATTAGGTACCATTACTTCCCGTTTCCACCATCAATCGTTATTTTTAAGTGACCCCTATGGTAACACATAGGTATTAATATGAATATTGTTTTCATAGGGGTCACTTAAAAATTAGGGATTGATGGTGAAAACGAGCATTAGATACTCTTCCAACAGTGTATAAGTAATAAAGGAGAGACGTCCCTTACGTTAGATAATAATAAAAATAATAAAAACACACTTTAACGTCAAACAAGTGTATTTAATCGAGATTGTATAACTAGATTACATAAATGGTGTACGATTTAATGAAACCACGTGAAGCTAAATATAAAAGTAACAATAGAAGTTCCACTATACAGTTAGAATTGTTATAAACAAAGCCCATGTTGTGCATAAAATAGAAAATTATAAGTATTTATAAACAAAATGGTTGAATGATGTGCAGAATCGTATTGTTATGGCACAAATATACAATGATTATGATGACTTCATGAATCGTCAACACACATAATCGAGGAAAAACATTCCGCATCAATTTCGTCATTCTGACTTAACAATAGGGAACTACTCATAAAAGGTATGTATATAGTCTAACGTCCAATGATAACGCCGAATCGACTTCTCAATCGAGATCAATTAATATTTATCGATACTGCGCGCTCTTGTTCAGAGTTAGTGCCTACGTATAAGTAGCTTTAATTTTGAATCAATGACGTTCGATTTGTCGCCCTATTGGACGCCAGACTTATTTATTGATTGTTTTAATGATTTTATATAGATGACATTTAGTTAGACAAATGTGCCTCATGCTATCTATAATTTAGTTCCCAAAAATCAAAGACAAAGGATTAGCGGAATGTTACACACTATTCAATATTCGTATCACTAAACAATGCCCAAAACTAGATTCAAACTCAAAAATCCATATAATTGGGCTAAATTCGACCAATCAAAGGCTTGAATTTGTACCTGAAAATGAGTCTAGTTTTGAGTATTGTTTTGTAATACGGGCCTCATGGTTACAAGTGGTAGGTACTTGAGAAAATATTTACTTATTTGGTCATAATATTTGCGTTGTTTACAACATACAAGCAAGATTATTATACATTTAAACATCATATTGCTTGTAAGATTATTTCAATACAGCTTTACCAGTACATTTTACAGAATAATGGAAGCATATAAAAATAATTCATTGCTTATATCTTAGACTAATGTACACAATGCTAAGCTGGTAAGAGTTAAATTAATGTTTATTATACAAATTACTATAAGAGCACAGGAAGGCACCGTTTTATTATTTTAAGGATGAAAATGGAAACTGCGTTACTCATACATATTCACATTCAGAAAAAATATGAGAAGAGATTAAAGTGAGCTATTTTGGATTATAAACTACTAAGTTTGTGGTTTTAATAATATAAAATCGGACTAAGTTTTAAAAAACCTGGATATTGTCAAAAAAGAGTGAGGTGCCTATAATATTTAAAAAGGTTACTTTGAATTTAGGATTCAAACTCAACGTTTGATGACTTCCTGTGTCCAATTAATTAATATGCCCGACAGCTTTATTGGCAGATGAAAAAGACAATGCTCTATGAGCCTTAGAATGCCGTCTCTTTCACACTTAAGCTGCAGATTTAAGTTAGGGCCGGGTATTAATTTTATTTTTAATATTGCTTTACATACAATTTATTGCGAATTATTGCGAAGCACCATTGATAATGTAAGCATTAATAGTACATATTATTTACATACAAAACGAAGAAAGATCTATGCACCAATAAAACATTATTATCCAATTTCATACTAAGTACAAATATATTACTTTTCTTCTAATTTATCACTACTAAGGTACATTTAAATTTATGGTGGTCTTCAATTAATTTTGCATTAATAAGTAAATATCACACAAGGTGAGGAAGAAGATAATATTCCAAGCTATACCATTAAAGATATCGCAAACGGTAACCGGTCAATAGGTAGCCTTTTTATGGTGCTTAACCATAGTTCAGTCCTAATAGTAAGACTTCATTTGAGAATCTACATTAGATTCTATGACAGGCAAGAGTTCAACATAATTGTAGTGATATTTTTGTATTGAAGGGATGTAAGACCACGCCATCAGTATTTATAAAGGCTTTAATTAACTTATGGTTTTTCAGCCATAATGTTTGTGAAATTAACGACAGCGATTCGAACAGCGAACGTTTACTTGCCTAGCGGACAAAATATTATATTTAGTTCACCTCTACTCATAGATACACACGTTTATTTGTATTATGCTACTTATAAAACTAATATGGCTATGAAAGTTTATAGACTTACAAATTACAAATATTTTACATCATTGGAATGTAAACTATGGCATACCGTGTAAACTCAAGGTAACGAAAGCCATAATATAATAAATGCATATACTTTTTACCTTTATATACATATTTGTCTAAATACTTTAGACTTATGTACACCATTTATTCAGGTGTAGGATCGGACTTCATGCAAAATAGATTCAATTTTCGTTTCTATTTGAATATATTTTTATGCGATACATAAAAGATTTTCATTCTACATATTATGTTGTTTAGATTACATTGAGTCAACATATTTAAGCTGTTATTAGTGGGTAGGAAACTTATAAAAGGTATTATTTTAATCGTAATTATTTGGTACATGAATAACTATTACAGATATTTTAAATATAGATAATGCATTTTAACAGTTATAACGTTTAATCATCAACATAATATTGATTTAGAAGTGGACTATGTTGACACAATGACCCATAACTTATCTATACTTCGATACATTGTAATCCTAATACAATATACTTATTACAATTTTTCGGTAACTTATTTCAGATCGCAAAACGTTGCTCATGGTCCATGGGATCCCAGTTTTTTCTTCCTGAAAATTTCAAATGACGTTTTTATGGACTCTAATCAACGTAATCACTGGCACCTTAGGTGTGTTAAATAAATAACAATATTTTATGTCATACTAGCTTTCCGCCCGGGGCTTCGCCCGCGTGGAATTTTGTCTGTCACAGAAAAACTTTACCGCGCGCGTCCCTGTTTCAAAAACCGGGATAAAAACTATCTTATATTCTTTCCCGGGACTTAAACTATCTCTATGCCAAATTTCATCAAAATCGGTTCAGTGGTTTAGGCGTGAAAGCGAGACAGACAGACTAGTCTTTCGCATTTATAATATTATACTAGTATAGATGAAATCACAGACTCAGCTTATTTGCTATGTTTTGATATTTAGCGTTGTTATAGCATCGGTAAATGTATCAATTCATTTGGATCAAATATTCTAATAAATAATTATTCGCCAATAGTTAAAATCCAATGTGAATATCAAATAATATTCGGACCGATAGCGCTTTGTTCATAATTACTAAATTCTAATTAAAACATAATCGTGCGTAAACAACTCTTATCTTAGTCGGCCTAAGTGGTGTTTTTATTAACAATAAATTCGTACCGTGCGTATGTTTTGATACTTATGTCGATAGCGCTGTTGTGTATTGAAATAATTTACCGGCAAGCGCGTTCATGACCAAATTCAAATTTAAAGCTTTATTTTTTCTTTTCTTATTTCATACTATGATCAAAATACTCAAAGGACTCCTTGACTCCAGACCTTGTCTGGATCAAGAGTAAGAATTATGAATCATAATCATCATTATGAAACATACACATCGCCATTTTAGACCCACTGAACTCCAGTGGTATTACAAGATATATTTTGTTTTAAAAGACCCCCGCGAAAACGTGTTGTTGCAACAAAAACATGGTACACTATTCAAATACAATTTTTAAATAGCCAGACATCTTAGTTCAAATTATAGCCACAAGAGGCGCAAATGTCCACATACCTGGATATCCCGGATCACTCGACTCCAGCGACCTCTATCAGCTATGATATAGACTGGAGTCTATCGCGGTGCCTCAAGGCCTCCAGCTGAGGCATCAGAGACACCGTCCGGTTGAAATAGGCCTCCACCGGCTCCTGTGACAGCATGGTGGCCAGGAACTGCTCCAGGGTTATCGACCATACGCTCTCGGCGGAAGGTTCGGTTTCCTTTGACGGCGATGGCTGCGGTTTGTCTTCCACCTCGGTTGGGTTGCCGTTGGGATCCATCTGGTTGACAGAAAATGTGTTAGTGACTTTACTATTAAAGTTTGGGTTGAAAAATTCGGTCGCTGATAGATTAACTAGCAGTTAAACTGTTAAAAAGTAATCTTAAAACAGTTCTATTAAAAATTACATTTTACAATTAGAAAAACTTGTCCCCAAGTAAATTCTATAAATTATTACCTGTCTTACGCCCGTATTCACAAACATTACTATGAGGTCTCACAGTGCGCGTGGACGCACAGGGTGACACACGAACCAATCACAGAGCTCTATTCAAAGCTGTGCGTTCGATTTGCTGCTTCACTTAAGCAAGCACTGTTTGTGAATACGGGCGTTAGTCTGATGTCTGAGGCATCATAAATAATAATTATACATTTCCATAAAATTCATACAGTTATTTTTGCGTAAAAGAGAAAATTCATCCGTCCATCCACATTCACAGGCTTTCGTGTTTATAAAATTAAGTTAAGACTTGAAAGGACAAAATAAATACTGACCTCGGGCAACGCAGGTTGTTTGGCGGCCGCTGCCAAGTACAGGCTGTCTTGCGAGATCTCCCTGTCGAGTTGCGGGCGCTGGTTCAACTCTCCGAGTTGCAAAAGCAGGGTACCTGTTGTAATAATTATTTTGTGGTGATTTGGTAACAAAATAGAAGTTAGATTAAATGCATGCAGATTTTTTTAAACTAATTTGTATGTACCTTGCTGTTTTGTAAGTTCAAAACGACAGAAGAGGAATATCACTGCAGGTTTGGTGATCGCATAGCGACTACAATGCGTAGGCGAATGTCGGCGGCCGGTCTGGTTCAATGGCATGCCCAGCGTGGTAGAGGCATTCTGACTTACCGAGGGGGTTAGGGTCAGTCTAATCCACAGATCACAGAAACTAAAGGGACATATGACAAGGGGGCGTGGCCGGTGTCGCAGCAATATGCCCAAAAACAGAACACATTGCTCGTGAGAGCAATGATGACAGCAGCGACGTCATAATGTAAACAGTTTACATTGGTCTAAACAGTGGGGGAGGGGGCAGTCTTGCCGAGGGGGAGGGGGCAATCTAATCAATGTGGGGGGGGGGGATCATTCTGAATGGTAACCAAACTTACCAGCCAGCACTACAGCTTCGTACAGCGGCGGGTCTTGCTGCGTGAGGTCGTGCAAGGCTGCTAGTAGCTGTAGGAAGTGGGCCCGCGGGAGGGGCGGCGCGGCGGGCGCGGGTTGCGGGGAGCCGGGCGTGGACGGTAGTGAAGATGGTAGTCCGGATAAAGCGCACGCGCGGACTGATTCCGCCGTGTGTGAGTCGCCGCTGCTGCCGGCTGGGGGAGAAACAACCTTATTACCAAAGATAATGAGGTTCTTTTTGCAGATACAAATGCGATTTAGTTTCGATCGACTGTCGAAATTATGTATCAACTTTTGGACACACGCGTTGCTAAAAGTAGGTATAAAATCCGACCCTGTTGCGTGGCTACCAAACGCGCGATTCATCGCAGCAAAAAGTTGCAGTGTACAAAGGGCCTAACTATAGAGCCAAACAGAATTTCTATGTACTTTTGCTACTTGGAAACAAAATTCCTCGGATTCGAGTCTTATGTATCTGAGGCCATTTTAAGTACTCTAGATAGCCTATTCTGAACTGCGATACTGCAAACGCTCAACTGAAAATTACGCATAATCAAAGTATCGTGTGACGTTATGTACCATTTGGAACTGTTTAGCTTGTCTGTCTACACTAAAGAACTGTAGGTACTTTTAAAATTTGTTTACTTACCAGAGTGGCTCAAAACGCTATCACTGGACTTGTCCATCTGGCTCCCGGCGCCGCAGACCTCGCTTATGGATCGGTGCATGACCGACGCGGTCGAAGGTTCAGGGCTCGGTGGGTTCTCCATGCTGAATGGAAATAATACACAAACTTTTATTAGATCATACATAATCGCACACCTAAACACTCAATAGGAGTCCGTGTAGTTCGTATTGTGAAAAAGTTATCAAATGTCATGGTAGAGCCATGCTTTATAACAGACTCTACACGTCAGTCAAAATATTATGTGGCATGTGCCCCCATTTTTAGCCCTCTGCCCTGACATTAAGCATTGACTATAGTGAAACACCTCAAAGAAAGATCAGTCTGCAGTCAACTCCTCGCCAGTATCCATAAAGTGCGTGGGCCTTAAAACGACTTTGGGCATCTTTCGTGCCTCTAAGCCTAGGCTACTATTGTTATTACATAGGTATCAAAGAAGGATATAGCGTCCGCAGCCAACTCCTCTCTAATATCAGTAAAGTGTGTGGTCCTCAGTTCAGACAGTAACGGCGGAGCGTGCGCGCAGTATAGCGCCCGCAAACGCCCTTGATCATCTTCCCTGTCTCTGAAGTCTAGGCTACTATTATATTACCTATCAAAGAAGGATATAGCGTCCGCAGCCAACTCCTCGCCAGTATCGGTGAAGTGAGTAGGCCTGAGTTCCAAGTGGGACAGTAATGGCGGAGCGTGCGCGCAGTATAGCGCCCGCAAACGCCTTTGAGCGTCTTTTCCTGTCTCTGAAGCCTAGGCTACTATTATATTACCTATCAAAGAAGGAAATAGCGTCCGCAGCCAACTCCTCGCCAGTATCGGTGAAGTGAGTGGGCCTGAGTTCCAAGTGGGACAGTAACGGAGCGTGCGCGCAGTATAGCGCCCGCAAACGCCTTTAAACATCCACCCTGCCTCTGAAGCCTAGGCTACTACTATATTACCTGTCAAAGAAGGATATAGCGTCCGCAGCCAACTCCTCGCCAGTATCCGTGAAGTGAGTAGGCCTGAGTTCCAAGTGGGACAGTAACGGCGGAGCGTGCGCGCAGTATAGCGCCCGCAAACGCCTTTGATCATCTTCCCTGTCTGAAGCCTAGGCTACTACTATATTACCTATCAAAGAAGGATATAGCGTCTGCAGCCAACTCTTCTCCAGTATCCGTGAAGTGAGTGGGCCTGAGTACCAAGTGGGACAGTAACGGCGGAGCGTGCGCGCAGTATAGCGCCCGCAAACGCCTTTGATCATCTTCCCTGTCTCTGAAGCCTAGGATATAAATACCTATCAAAGAAGGATATAGCGTCCGCAGCCAACTCTTCTCCAGTATCCGTGAAGTGAGTAGGCCTGAGTTCCAAGTGGGACAGTAATGGCGGGGCGTGCGCGCAGTATAGCGCCCGCAAACGCCTTTGATCATCTTCCCTGTCTGAAGCCTAGGCTACTATTATATTACCTATCAAAGAAGGATATAGCGTCCGCAGCCAACTCTTCTCCAGTATCCGTGAAGTGAGTGGGCCTGAGTTCTAAATGGGACAGTAACGGCGGAGCGTGCGCGCAGTATAGCGCCCGCAAACGTCTTTGATCATCTTCCCTGTCTGAAGCCTAGGCTACTACCATATTACCTATCTTTGAAGTCTATGCTACTATTATATTACCTATCAAAGAAGGATATAGCGTCCGCAGCCAACTCCTCGCCAGTATCCGTGAAGTGAGTAGGCCTGAGTTCCAAGTGGGAGAGTAATGGCGGAGCGTGCGCGCAGTATAGCGCCCGCAAACGCCTTTGGGCGTCTGCCCTGACGCTGAGCCCTAGGGCCAGGCTGAGACCTCGGGCGCTGACGAAACCGTCGTCATCGTTGTCCATTAACTGCGAAAAAAGAGTAATATCTAGCTAGATGACAGACAGAATATTCTTAAATATACACTTCATAACTAAAGTTTTTAAAGTTAACGCCTACAGCTCACCTTCGCTACGAAACCATAACATGTAAGCAATCAATAAGTACACAAGAGAAAAACCAATTTTTGTAACATCCCCACATTTGAACGCAGAGACCCAGAGATGCTATTGATTGATTTTATCATTATCATTTCGGCCACAGAACGTCCACTGCTGAACATAGGCCTCCCCCAATAATATCCAGATTAGACAATTGGAAGCAGCCTGGATCCAGCGCCTTCTTGCAATCTTTATGAGATCGTCTGTCTGCTGTAGATCCTCTACACAGGAGTTGCAGCGGTGGGAACGGGAGGTGGGAATAATCCCGTGTCTGTCTTTGACATATAAGAATTATGCCAGTAATTTTATTTTATTTTTAAAGTTATTAATCTGACCTTGAACATCCTAGCAGTGATCGCCTCGGCCCTATCGCCTTTAGCCCAGGGCGACAACGCAGTGAACAGCGTCTTGAACTGCGTGTAGTCAAGCCGATACGCCTCGTAGGGCGCCTCCAAGCGTTCACAGGGCACACGCTTCGCCCACAGTAGCTCTTCGCGGATTGCGCTTAGTAATTCCTGAAATAAATACAGAAATATGCAAGTAAGAGTATGCAATATTTTTCATTTATATGATTAAAGATCAATATATTTTATCAGTATATTTTATGCAGTATAGGTTAGTGTCCGTGACTCCCACTCGTCATGGGGCACACAGAAAACCAGCGTCGTGGCCTTTCTCACAGAGGGCCACGGCATATACTGAGTGGGGTCCCATTGCGATGGACATCGCTGTGCGACAGGGTGGCACTGCTCAGTTTGCTTTCTCATCCATTGTGTTTTATGTCACCTCTGTCTTATTTGCTTTTTTTATTTACATCTTTTGTCTTTTGTGATGTCCATGGCAATAAATGTTTCTTTCTTTCTTTCTTTCAATAAATGGCCGTGTGATTAACAGAGTAAAGTGGGACCTTGGGGGAGGGCTTTATCAAGTAGTGGACACGATTTGGCTGAATCGAACTAAAATGGGACCTACTCTACTCTTCACGAGGATGTCGTAAAACGCAACTAAGGAATAAAATAGCTATGCAGACAGGTTTCTTCAGCCCGTCTAATGTAGGCCAAATTATCGGAACAAATCGCAAGATTTTTTATACAGGGTGACTGGAACTAAACCCGCCTTAGCATGTCATGCCTTCCTGTGTAGCGGCCGAAGTCAGTCGTTTGCGAACTATTGGTCCTTACTTTACATACAGGTGCACATGTCAATGTAAAATTAACCTTACCTGCAGCTCGTTAGGTTCAAGAAGCTTGTCCTGCTGCAAGGCCCTCAGAGTGTTTCTCTCCAGACTGTCCTCCAAGTGACGGACTACCCTCAGCCTGTGTTTGAGGCCCAAATGCTCTATACACTCGCTAGTCACGCTCGCGCCGTATGTTCGGTAGGCTTGGTACACTAGGTCTTGGATTCTTATCGTCTGAAAGGAAAGTGAATTTATTAAGCTCAATATAAAACCTTGGTTTTGTCAAAACAAAATGCGTCGTAAATGTAATTCATTCAGATGAAAGAGCAGCATTTGAGAAACGGATTTAACAGTTTTTGTGTACAGACATAACAAGGTTTGTAAGAACTTATTAACTTGTCCATTAGTTATTAATGCTACTCTCTATTTAGCCATTAGGCTCAATCACTTCTTCTTGTCGTGTCGACAAACCTACACAGTGTCAGCCCAAAACTCCGCTACAAGAGTGGCGTTGTCAGTAGCATTCATTAAACTTCCTGCATGTAGTTAAACTTCCTGCATGTAGTTGTTTGGGCACTTTGATGGGTAAATAAATACAAATTTTCACTTACCTTCTGCGCAGTGCGTGGCTCAGTAGATAAAGCGACAGCTTCATCGTTGTATATGCCGGCCAGGTAATCACCAAGGATCTGCATGGCTTGCCCGTCTTCCGTACACGTTAGCAGTTTGTCCCGGTTTATATCCAGGATCTTGAGGGTCACCTGCAGAGATTGGGGATCATTAAAATAGGTTCTTACAGTATTGTCACCGTTGAAAACGCGCGTGGTTGCTCCGTGTGCGAAATTGGATAGTTGATAGTAGTAATCAATTGACCTTATTGATTGAGCTATCAAGACACTAATAGACTTTGTATAGAAACAGGGACCTATGCTTATGACGCCACTTGTTTGTCAAATCAATTGACTATTTATACCACAAAGTAGGCCATTTAAATAAACATTTTAAATGTATTTGAGCAACAGACTCTGTCCTTTCAGATCGAACCGGGTTTCTTTTACATTTTATAAAACTTCGTAGCTCTTGGAAACCCGTATATTTTTTTTAGGTAACAGATCCAAATCGCATCTGACAAGCACAGGCCTGAAATATAACTTTAGTGCCGTCATAAAAGAAGCAGTTCATGACGTTGACGGCGCACTCTACACGCTGATGAATCAAGAACGCGTCAAGAACCAAGCCAGAGAGCTCATCTTTTACATACTATAATACCTTAATACTATATCTTTAAGTATCAAAATCAATTGGCTTCTAAAAAGCACAGACCTGGAATATGACTTTAGCGCCGTCATAGAAGAAGCAATCCATGACGTTGACGGCGCACTCGTACGGCATGACACTGATGAATAGCGTCAGGAACCACGCCAGAGATATCATCTCTTCCATACCTTAATACTATATCTTTAAGTATCAAAATCGATTGGCTTCTGAAAAGCACAGACCTGGAATATGACTTTAGCGCCGTCATAGAAGAAGCAGTCCATGACGTTGACGGCGCACTCGTACGGCATGACACTGATGAACAGCGTCAGGAACCAAGCCAGAGATATCATCTCTTCCATACCTTAATACTATATCTTTAAGTATCAAAATCGATTGGCTTCTGAAAAGCACAGACCTGGAATATAACTTTAGCACCGTCATAGAAGAAGCAGTCCATGACGTTGACGGCGCACTCGTACGGCATGACACTGATGAACAGCGTCAGGAACCACGCGACAGATATCATCTTCATCACGCCTAGTCCTTAATACTATATCAGTATCTTTAAGTATCAGAATCAAATGGCTTCTGACCACAGACCTGGAATATGACTTTAGCGCCGTCATAGAAGAAGCAGTCCATGACGTTGACGGCGCACTCGTACGGCATGACACTGATGAATAGCGTCAGGAACCAAGCCAAGGAGATCATCTCTTCGATACCTTAATACTATACCTTTAAGTATCAGAATCAAATGGCTTCTGACCACAGACCTGGAATATGACTTTAGCACCGTCATAGAAGAAGCAGTCCATGACGTTGACGGCGCACTCGTACGGCATGACGCTGATGAATAGCGTCAGGAACCACGCCAGGGATATCATCTTCATCACGCCTAGTTCTTCAAGCTTCGCGTGTAATTCTGGCAGGTGCGCTGCAGTCAACTCTTTGAGGACCCCTTGGTCTACCTGTAACGGAAAACAGAACACAATAGCAATATTATGGCAAAATGATTTCTAATACTTTTGTAAATGTTTATCATGTCAATTTTAAAACGCGACAATCGTCAATCAGTCAATGGTTAGGGCCAATCAAAGTTTACATTATTTTTGTCTTTCACAATTATATCAACAATTCTACAATCGAGTTAGTTTCTTTCTGACATGTAGAAATATACAATTAATCTTATTACATGTTTTAAAAAGCAATTTAGTCGTGTAAATTCTGCATTATTTTATGTTAGGCGTTACTTGTGAAAGCTAATAGAAGAAAAAATTACATCACTCGAACACAGCAAAGTTTGCCATGCGTTACAAAATTAGTAATTATTGAGAAATGCAAGTTAGGCATCAGAAAAGCGCTCTAAAATCGGCAAAAAGTTCCAAGGATCTTACCAAAGCGCCCACAACCCTCGTATTATAATAATCGGGCAGCAGCGTCTCGCATATCGTAGCCAGCAGCCAGAAGGCCTGCTCCTCCGGGCAGTATATGAGCAGCACCGAAGCCACTATGTTCATCGCTTGGCAGTAGCCGATGGTGGGGTTCTTGAGTGCGTACGCGCATAGCACGCGGCGCAGAGCGGATATACCTGTAAAAGTTGAAGTAGCTTAGCTATTTGAAACAGAGCAACGGGTCTGAAACGCGACATTTATGCAGTACTGAATGATGTAACGGGATACTTAATAATATAGTTGAGCTAATCCTGCCATTGAGGAGTCTTCTGACAAACGCAAACAAGGTTATTTATTGTGACACATTCTTTAACCAACACCTAATTAATCCTTCAAGCTCCGCGAATCTAGACACAATAGATAATCAATTGTTATGACATTAATTAATGCCGTCTGGGACTCAATCGGTTAAGCTCAAACTAAGCAGTGTTTTTGTTATGTCGAGACTGACTATCTAACGGATAAAAGTACGGAACGTGTAACATTCGTATGAAATGTACAGTCGCGGAATAAAAAGGTTCGTCACCTTAGTGTCGGTTTTCGCTTGCACTAGGTAGGTACTGTAAGAGTCAATCCTGCGAACATAACAGTGCAAGAAACAGTGCTGCTAACATTTAAATAAATATGACGTTTGCTAACGAATAAGGTTTTGCTTGTTTATTTTTCTATCCCATCAGTGCAATGCAATGATGACACTGACCAATTGACAATAGTTTTTTTTATTAAATAGAAATAATAATGGCAGGTTGAACCAACAAGAAGGTTTTAGTTTATCAATCATAATAATCTTCTTGACAAGATAAATCGTCAAACAACTTTTATCTGAATAATTTTGAACTTTACTGACGAACAGTTAAAGATTATTTTCTCTAACTCGAGATTATTCTGTAACATAGTTTCAAAAGGTAATATGTGCTCGCGATTCGTTGAAGGAATCAATTTGAAAACTGACGAACCTTTTCATTCCGTGACTGTACAAGTGCTCAAAACATTGACAACACAAATAACCGATCCCAGTGTTTTGAAAAATCAAAAACTATGGGTGTTGTCAAGGCACATCATCAGGCTGTCAAATTTATATTACTTTTTTTTAAAATACTGATGCCGATATTTATATTCTCAATACTTTGACTTAAGGTCCAAAAACAATGTTAATTTTGAACTTATTGAAGAGTCAACAACACTCACCAACATCATTCTGGAACGCCGGGTGTTCCGGCAGTGACCTATGCAGGTCCCTTTCAATCTCATCGTTCACCGCGTTCTTAGACGACAGGGCTTCCTTCACCAGCTTCTGGTATAGCCCTTTGTTCTGCACCTTCTGCAGTATGGACCCTGAGAAGACGCTCCACAATTCGCCGCGAAGGGATTCTGGTATACCGTTTACGACTAGTTCGCTGCCGGCTGTTGTTTGGTACATGCTGACACCGCGGCCTACCTCGGACATGTGGTCTTCCCATTGTTTTACCTGGAAATTAAGAATCATCAACAACAGGTCATTTAGTATCCACTGCAAGAACACGACCAGAGTAAATACAAATGAGTAGGTCATCTTCATAGAAACGCACGGGCGCGGTTTGTATATGAGCGCGCCAACACGTATGCGGCGCGCACGCACACACTGTCAAAATTTAGCAGGGATTAGCGGGGAGCCAGTCGTGGTTGCGCCGAAGATAGACTTCCTAGAGGTAAGTACCAGAGGATGAAATTAATTTATATTAATTGAATCATTTTGACGATTATTATCAATTAATGAGGATTTTCGCGAATGAAAGATCCGCTAGATGGCGGGACGTGGATGTGGGGTCTGACTGCTGCGTGATTGGTGGATTTTGACATATCTGTCAATGTCATGTCAAAAATAACCAATCATGCAGCATTTGGACCTCGCGTCTACGTATTGCCATCTGGCGGATTTTTCATTCGCGAAAACCGTCATTGACTTTATACTTATGGAATTTATTTCCCAAAGAATTCATACTCTCCAAAGAAACTAAAAAAACTTCGTGAGTAAAAAGAAGTAAAAAGATGCGATTCTATGATATCTCAATTAACATTAACAGACATCAATTTGGACCACAGAATTTATTACAAGTAGTTATTTTAATTAAACCGGTTTAAAATAAAATTGCAAGTTTGACCTACAATAGCAAGCCGGGTTAGGATGCGCGCCATGATAATACTTATCGATTATTTTAGACGACAGACGTTTAAAATCGATAAAATGGCGCAATAGAAGCTTATCGCGACTCGCATCCTAGGCCTACAGGTAAAATTAGAGCTTAAAAACATACATTGCCTCGTTTGCCTCCTGTCACATAAAAAAAATACATACCTTCTTCTCCTGTATTTGTTTTATGGGTGAAGTCTGGTTGGTCTTGAACAGAGACATCAGAGGAGGCTGCGGCGTCCATTCCTGGTCCTCCGTGTTCCTCGCGACAGCATGCGTTGCCTTTTCCCTGTACACATCACTGAATTCAAGCAATTGAGAATGTGATCGCAAATCAAACCTTAATCATATCAAACCCAGCGTTCAATGTTAGTTGCAACTTGCAGGCCAGTTGGAGATCCTGTTAAAAATGTAATGAATGTGAAATGTTAAATTTTTCCACCATTAAATAATAATTGAGAATGTTAGCCCGAATATAAGAAACACAGATAAACTTATAATGGTAAAATACTAAAAGATAGATAGTATTTTAAGAGACCGCGGCAATTTGACTACAGTCAGCGTCGAATAGCTCGTGACACCCAGTGGCCAAAATGTTGACAACACAGCCTTATCTAATTGTAACAAAGACGTTTTGCGAATTTATTGCCTACTTTGGGTGTCACGAACTATTTTGACGCTGACTGTACACTTAGATGAGATTTTGCAACCAAAGTGTTTAGTCGACTGTACTTGATATAATGTTTTCATTGATTAATCATGCAAAGAAACATGCAACAATGTACTAACGAAATAGTTTCACAAGTGGAAGCCACCTTATTTGAATGTTTTACTCATACTATACGTGCAAACAGAAATCAGCAACATTGTAAACAAAATAAACAGCCTTACTCAATACATTTTTATCATTTTAGAGCTGATTTTTCAATCGTTGGATAATTTTTAACTGAAGAATAAGTTTGGCATATTGACAGTTTCAATATGGGAAATAGGTTCAGAATGTCAATGAATCTGTCATTTCGCAATAATTTGCTTAGCTGACGACTTCACTATAGCGCATTTTCACAAGCATCTCAAATTAACAAAAAATAACCCACTCACTTAGGCAACTTGGCGAGCAGTTCCGATATCTTGTGCACCAAGAACTCCCTGTCGGATATGTTGCCGAAGAAGAAACTGGTGTGATGAGAGGTCGTTATGAGGATACTGCCAGAGTCGCCAGAACTGCCGGTGCCACCTGAATCCGCTCGCTCCACTTGATGCACGTTACGGAGGGGTATGGTGAGACGGACCAGGTTCTTTACCTGGAAGGAAAGAGGTTTATCAGGTAAGAAGAAGCAAAAGGTTTATAAAAGGTTTATTATTTCGCGCAAAGAGGTTTAACAGATCAGGCAGGAAGAATGCGCGCGATTTGAATTCAGAGCGCCAGAAGTCCCAAATTCGTAAGGCTGGTTTTAGTGTCACGCGGACTGTCAGTGCGGATCGCTCCGCACAGCCGATCTGTATGAACTGGGAGCGAGCGGTTCCTCCGGACCGCATAAAACGTTCCCTAGAAGTTCATACAGATTGGCCTTGCAGAGCGGGTCCACACCGTACGGTCCGCGTGACACTAAAACCAGCCTAAAAGTGCATTCAAGACGCGCGCGAACTATATTATGTACAATCCAGTCGAATTAACTGCGCACCTGACGGCCGTGACGTCACATCGACGCTCTGGTAACGGGGCGAACGCGGGGAGGTATGCGGGTGAGTGTGAGGAAGTCGCATTCCAGCGAGGTGTGCAGTTAACTTTATTGGGTTTTATACTTCTTGATTTGAATTTAGTGCGCCAGAAGTAAATTGTTCCAAAAAGTCTGCATTCAACTCGCGCGTTAGTTGTTTATGTGTTGTATACAGGAAATGCACAAAGACCATGTTTACCGTATGTAAACGTATGGGCAAATAAACAATGAAGCTTCATTCCTCAACATCGAGTCGTTTAGTGAAGTTCAGTACTATGACGACCCTCTCTAATTCACCAGAGGTAGGTGAATGGAGGATTATAGCCTACATCTTTCCACACTGGCCGGACAGATTGGGGTGGCCCGATGTTCGCATATTTCCCACTAAATCTAATTTTACGTCATCTACTGTAAGAGTATGAGTACTATTCTACTCTGCCGACCACACGACTATTCTCTCTGCTCATTATAAAGACTAAAATCGGTGCAAACGTTGCCTAATTTACAAAGCAAATCTCTAACAACGAAAATCACGTGAGATTCTTATTATGTCAGAATTTAGTTATGTTTATCAATTTCAATAATATCGGAAATGCTAACAGCTCATTATCGACTTAGTGCTACATCAGTATTGAATACTTTAGCTTTTAAGTCAAGACAAGAAGGTTTAAATTTGAATAGATATTAAGACAGTGTTAGCATTGCTTGTTCTCTATAGATAATGTGAATAGTAACAAAACAACAAAGGTTGAGCAAATATTATGGCCGCCTGCTCGCTCGTGACTCAGATTTGACATTCATATGATAAAAGTTATTATTACGTACATATTATGTTACAATTTATATCATTTTCATATTATGAAACTGGTCAATAGACAATAGCCATCAAAATATGTCTGCAAACGTACATAATCTAAGCATATAATTAAATAAAATTGAGATGTACGTTTGTTTGCGGGCAGCGCAGGACCGTTCATTGTGGAAAATCTTGGGGGAGGCCTTTGTCCAGCAGTGGACGTCATTTGGCTAAAACGAACGAACGTACGTTTGTTTGTAATATCAAAATAACGCTTTTTGCTAAATGTATTAATTTATACTTATAACAGAAACTTTTTGTTAGATTTTAATATGTCTGTTATTAATCTTCGAAACGGCGGGCCAGAGACATTATCTTAGACGCGTTGGAAAAAATTCAACCTATTAAATAAAGACAGTTACCTGGCGGATAAACCGTTTACGCGGACGAAGTTGCGGATAGAAGCTAGTAGAATATAAGGAAAATTGTTAAATTGAAATAAAGTTACACTTTGTTATGCTATAGCTAATCAAAAGTATCAAATATTTGTACTACAGTTCACTGATAGGAATAGTGTACCGAATTGTAATCAAAATGCAAATTATAACACAATTTCAAATAAAACTAGTTGTATGAAATAACGGCTATACTTACACTATCTATACATACGCTCTGTACTATAGTACAAATGTTGCGACATTTTCCGAAAACATTATAACTGCTCGTACTATACATGAGAAAACCAAGAGAATGTCGGTAGTGAGACTTAAAACATTATACTGCGTCACGTAAATAGGTTTGCATTGTGTCGGTGGTAATTTTTACATAATCTACTTTTCGTGACTAAGCAAAAATTTCGATGAAACGCTCAGTAACAAAATAGTCTTTTTTTACTTTGATGTATTTGAAATACATAGAATACGTTTCGCGAAGTGATGCTTCGTGAAGATTGCATACGTTTTCGCGGCGTTCATTAAAACTCTTTTGATTCTTTATAAAGGCAAAATACTTACCCGACTATCGAAACAAATGAAGTTCTGCGACAAATACAATCTGCCCCAATTTTGTTTCTTGTTATATGGCGTCCATAAAGTGCACTCCTCAGTGCCATCCAACTTCTCAGTGTGGGGCAAACGGAACCTTAACGTGTAGAGATTAGACTGCTTTTTCGCGTCCAAGTCACGTTTCAGGAATGACGGTTTCTTTGGTACATTTTTGCTCAGTTTGGTCAATAGCTCTTTATCGATATTGAAACTGCCAGATTTGTCATCTATTAACCTGAAAAAGGAAATGTTTTGCTTACGACTTATAAAAACGTTCATCTATCAAGCTTGTTATAGCTATAGTTGTTTTCTTCTTATTGTTGCGGGCGTTGCGACTAACGACAGTAGTGGTCAGGAATGTGAAAGTCTGACATTCCATTAAGTAACTACTGTTATGGTTCTTTGGAATCCTTACAAGAAAAATATATTTAGTAGTCGTAATTTTTGAAGTGGAGATTGTACGAAAATTATATGGGCAATCATCACACTTGGCTGATTTTTTATGAGTATTAAAATTGCAATATTTAAGATAAAGGTTTAAGGTTCCAGATATTATTATTTGCCAAATGTGTGTAGGTAGATGGGCATTTTTAAAATTGTAATTTTTTGTAATAACCTTTCGTCTGACGCGGCCGTGGCGCCGTACCCGTCCGTGACATTACGTAAACAAAAAATTTGCAAATCAGCATAATTTGCAAAAACTCAAATTATCTTCAGTTCTATTTGGAACTAAGCCTTGAATTTTTTACTGAATACTCCTTATTAGTTTCTAGATAAAAACATCAGACCATTGGACAACCAACATACACCTTAAAATTAGCTTATATTTATTAGAATATAATAAATAGATTATGATGTACTCACTGTTTCATGGCAATATTGGCTAGCTGTTGCATCAACGCAAAAGTCTCGTTCTTCTTCAAGAAGAGTGTGAAGTAATGCTCTCCATCCCTAGTCACAATTTTAATTGAGTCGGGGAAGAGAATGCTGTTAGTTTTGGCCAACTCCGTAACGTCAGCCCAGCGGATCTTGACAGTGGTTTTACGGCCAAATATGTACGAGTAGAAACACATGTAGTGGACTGACAGGTACATCCAGCCTTGCCGAGGTATTTTTCCCTTCCAGTAACTATACAAACAAAAAACAATTTTCAAAGATTTTCAGGTGAAAACAAAAAATTAGGAGTTGTCTGGATAAGACACATAAAGCTAGAGACACATAAATATGATACACGCACATTGAAGCAAACATTTGTAGACTGTTGTACTGTTGACTCTTAATGCTGATTAATTTTAATACCAAGGAATGGTTTTATTATTATTAAATTCTGTATTTTACAAAAGAAAGTACAAAATAAAATTAAAATAAAACACTCACCTGCATGAATAGTAACAAACAAGCTTTTCATCTCTGGGCATGCCAAATCTCTGATGAAACTCATAATCAACATTTTTGTAGTTGAGTGTATCTTCATCTAAAATAATGCACTCAATTTAGTAAACTAAAGTAAGAAAAAAATAATTTAACAGCATTTAATATTAATAATAGACATCAATACCAATTACTGACTTATTTACCAAATAGTCTTAATGTATTGTTCAAATTGAGTAACAATAGGGTTGATTTTGTATTTTAATTAATATCATTAAACTATAAGACTAGAAAAACTATATGAAATAATAATGTTTGTGTTTTAAGACCACAACAACAAAGTACTTATAAATACTAGCTTTTGTTTCCTGTTCAATGAGCAAAAAAGTTTCAAATAAATAAATACCTTCAGTAAAGTTGTCCTGCTCAGTGGCAATGACAGAATTTATCTTGCAGCACACAAATTCTGTAACCTCATCCTCGGTATCAAATGAATGCAAAGTTGGGCAGACATTTTCAAACAACCACTGCCAGTCCTGACGTATCTCTGCCTCTGTCAGAGCCGTGGCTATTACTGCAATAACAAAAGTATAGTTTCTAATTGGAATCATTATAGACTATGAAAAAAATATTTATTTAGATGAAAAAGAGCTGTAGCGTTACCATAGTACACTTCAGAGTTAGGAGTCTGATGCAGTATTCTGTACGGAGCCGGTTTTGTGTCCATCACACTATCCAAAGTACCCACAAGTAAAGAAGATAAACCTCTCGACTTGCCATGGCCTTTTCGCCGTTGCAACACGAAATACAAGCTGGTGTCATCACAATCCCTATAGGATACATAAATACGTCAATGCTATTCCATTAAATACAATACGAAATCACAAACAAATTATTATCGACAAAGATAAGACACAGTACCACAAAGCAGTTTTTATGAAAACTTCTTGAGGCTTCACCCACATCTTGATTATTAATGACTAACACTTTGTTATTCACCAATAAATAGACATTTTAACATTTAAACTCTATCAAATTGAATTTAAATAAAATTATTTGTTGTTCAAATACTACGACCACTTTTGACAGATTCAGAAAGATTCAGAAAGTCAAAGAATGACAAAGGCTGTGTTTCTTTGCTCAACATTTCTTTCTTTTTGTGTAAATAAATGGTGAACAATTTTTTCTATGAATAAATCTTAATAACTTTGTTGGATTAATACGAATAAAGCAAAAAGGAAATTATTTAAAACAAGAATACAACGCCATTGTGACTTTTTTTTTCTTTTTTTTTCCCGAGATCAAGACCCAAACCCACAGATATGGATAGATGCAGCATGTGTCAAAAATTGTATGAAGCCGAGCGTGCCACTTTTTAAACGTCATTAGTGTCATTTTAGCGAATTTTAGTGATTGCCGCAACGTAAAAGTAATCGTATCATCGTACTGCATTTGCAAAGTCATCGAATGATATCGTGTGACTCGATTCGAAAATTAATTAATTCCGATAAAACTGATAATTTGTTAAATACAAAACCAAAAACATCTTTATTTACCTTTTTAAAATAAATTAATTCTTACAAATCGTCAAATCTCGTTATTTTTTTTACCCTACCAGCGTTTCAAGACATAAATTTGTCAAGTGCATGAATACATGCATCAGTGTGTGTCTTATTGTTATGAGTAAGTACGGTTCCTTGGGATCGGTATGAGTGCACCACATACAGGGACCATGGTTTTAACTCTTAAGAGTACATCGCAGGATATGTATTAAAAACAATGCTACTTTATACTTCTTCTACTGCTACTTTATTCTAATTAATTATTTGTTACTTGTGCTGTTAATTACAATTCTCAATCCGTAAATAATTTCTTCTTTCTACCGTGTTCGTACTACTGTCCTCGTAAAATCATCGTAACCGATTGTTGTAATCGGATTACATGAACATCACTCGACCATGTATGTCCATTTGGACATATCGGAATGGCACGCTTTGACGATCAACTTGCTGTATCTACTCTAATCCATAATAATAATATCTGTGCCCAAACCCATAGAGTTATTATAGATGACCCACGCTGAACTGTCCCGCCAAACTCAATGACAGGGGGGCGCTACCATCGTTCAACTATATGGTTTCCAACATGGCAAAAATCGGAACTAGCGATCCGGTATTGACGGTGGCGCCCCACTGTCAATGTCATGCACAGGACAGTTCAGTATTTTGGAACTATAACCATTATACTGAACTGTCATGGACTGTCTTTTAAGCCACCATTATACTGAACTGTCATGGACTGTCTTTTAAGCCACCGGGAGGCGCCGCTGTCAATACTGGATCGCTGGTTCCGATTTTTGCCATGTTGGAATTTTTTAAAAACACATTCGGGTACTAGGGTCTGGCTAGGGCAAGCAGAAAATAAGCCTAAACTAGCCTTTCATTTATCATTTTTTCATTATTTTTCAAAGGTTCAAATTTTCGGAGCGTTCAAAAATTGCTACATGTCCAAGAAAAATTTTATTTTAAATAAATTATTCTAAAATAAAACAATTTTACAGATTTCAATGGTTTATTTTGTTTCAATTCTTTTAGACACCAATAAAACTACAAACTCAAAGAAATTTTAATGATGTTCTTTTTCTGCAGCTTTTCTTTGCGTTTCAGCCCAAGCCCTTTTATTGCCCTCAGAATTAGCTACTGAATGAATCTTCGTAAAAAAGTAAAATCCTACCACTATTCCGTGTGGATAATACATCCAAATCATATTATTTTTCAGGTAGTGAAAAATTGGGAATTGAGCCATTTTCGCAGAGATAGTGTAAGGAAATTTCATATGCCTTCCGGATTTCCTGAATAAAAAAATAAGATTAAAATACCTATGTATGTAAAGTAACGACTAACGACTATGGTAACGGCGCCGCTGCGCTGCGGCGACAAGTTCAAGGCAGTGACCGTGTCGTTTAGTTAGGTTCTTAACAGCTTGATTGTGATAAAAACATAAACCTTCTTCTGCCATTGGCGGGTAAAAAAGTGTACTAAGAATACACACAAGCTATGCTAATCATAATTTAAACAAACAGTTTTGTTTTATTTGTAACATAATAAATTATGATCTACGAAATCAAATGTGAATTGGATTATTTACAAAATTTTTGGGACCTTACCCGGCAATAAATCCAGCACCTCTCATAGCATTTTCGATTTGACCGTAAAGTACTTTGAGTTGAGCAGGAAACATTTTGGAAAATAATCAAGGGAATATTTTATTTGGAATCAAGGAAATTAATAAAGCAATAGACAATAAAATTTTGTGTTGATTATTGTCATTATAATGAAGTTGACATTTATTTTGTTTTTATCACAAAATATTTTTAAATGGTATTAGATACGGCCATGTAAGTGGCAGGCATTGTATTAATACACAGTACAAACAATTTAATTTGTCGTAAAAATTTAATCAGAAAATTACTTGAATCGTAGAATAGAGGTCAAATAAGTGGTATACTGTCTGCCGGGCTTGTACCTATTATGATATGATCTTATAATATCAATGGTAAAAAGGAAAAACCTTTTCGTCGTCATGTGTCATGTGTCTGTCAATGTCAACAATATTGACAGTTGTCAACTTCATCTTCCTCCTCCCCCTCGCTCCTCCCAACCTTCTTCTCTCCTCGTAGTCCTCGTCTGTCTCAATCATTTCATTTTCGTGTAAAACCATTTGTGAATGGACGACGGCAAATAAAATAAATTGGCCAATTCTAAAATATTGGTTCCCCACACATTATTTGCAATGAGTGATAACGAAAAAGAAGAGGCTGCCAATTTGGTATGTAAAGCGTTCGTAACGTAGCTTACTGATCGTGTCGATTTAATGTTGTTCTAGTTAGAATGTATTATTCATGATGTCCAATTGTTTTCAGAAAGAAGAATTCGAATGGGTCCTTCGCGAGGAGGTGCACGCTATATTACATCAGCTTCATTCGGTTCTAGTCGTGAGTATTTTACTACAATGTAGGTACAATGAATGATGTTAACCGACAGACACTTGACTCGGTTTTTCTTTCAGGAATGTGCTCACAGATTCCCCGTGCCATTATATGGCAACGAAGGCCAGAAGCAGGACAAATTCATCTTGACATCACAGCCTGAACAGCTGAAATGTATAGTCACTTTGACTGGTGATAGCATTACTCATGCAGTAAGTTTGAATGTTACATTATTGTAACTTTTAAAACATTGCAGAACCATATTTTTTTAATCAATTTGAACCTTACTTCATCTGTATATTGTTCAAAATATTGTGGCAACAATTTGACCTTTACTCCTAAATATTGTATGTTACAGCCATTTAAACTCTTTAAGAAGTTTCAATCAATGTTTGATAGGCACTTGATTTGTTAATTATGAATGATTGTCATATTTAAGTCTTAATTAACCCATTATAGACTGAGTTTTCTTAAAGTGTCAGATTTTTGTTTTTTTGAAATATGTTCATAATTATGGTCTACATAATGCTATACAAGCATTAAAAAAATTATTCGACCTGTAATCTGGAAAAAAAATGCTGGTACCATATGGTACCGCTAGCCTCTTACCGTGTCAGTTGGTTAAAACATAACTTTATCATGGACTTTATAAAAATTGGGTAAATTATATATTTCATTATTATTTTAATATGTATTAATATACAAACAAATAACAGGAGTGATATTAAATGTAAAAAAGCTGTATATTGGGTAAGCAATATTCATTTTTATCTTTGAATATTCAAAAATTTGGAATGGAGCTTGGCATTGCACGCTGCACATAGCCCCACGTTACATTTTCTATACTCTGATATTGTTCGAGAGTCGCAATTATCTTGAGTTTGTTCTATAAATTTCTGTTTCGTCTTGGGACCTTCATCGTCCTCCAAAACTGCCAATGTTTGTGAATGTTACATCTAAAATAAATAAAAAACCATGGTTTTGTAAAGTATAGGAAACTATTTTACTTTATCTTCCTGTATACCATATATACCATTGAATATATCACATACTTCCCAATAAATACAGTAAAAACTAAAAATCATAAAATAATTAAAAAGACACGGTAAGCGGCTAGCGGTACCGTACGGTACCAGTAATTTTGACATACAATATTTCCCATTATTATTACCAATCGACGTAATTTTACACCATTTCACAATAAAAGCACTTATGGAGAATACAAGATTGTAACTAAATCAGTATTTCACTATCACACAAAAAAAAAATGATCACTTGCTTTTATGGCGCGTCAATTTTTAAGAGAAAATTTTGATGCGCTCACTTCAATCATCACTTACATACAACTGAAAAGAATAACTGTCAATTTTTATTCCTATTAGCATAGACCATATCTATTGGCTATGATTTGCATCAATCAGAGCACTGCATCTTTTCACGTGTTAATGTATAGAGCCAAATTAAAACACACAAAAAAGTGGTACCATATGGGACCGCTAGTCTATAATGGGTTAATCCATTACCACTTGCTTGTTCTTACATAAAAACAAACATATCAATTCTGTTAATCCATGAACATTGATTTACAGTTTCATCAATCACTTGTATTCGTTATTTCTATCAAATTGAATTAGTACATTTCAAATATTTAACTGATTGATTTAATTGCATAAAATTTGTGTCACGGTGTATAGGTATTAAGCATCATAATATAAATTCAACATTTTCACACTCTACTTGTTTATGTTTAAGGACATAAGCTTCAAGGTACTTCGTCAGCTTCACACAATATGTCGTACATCAATCAACCAAGACGGACCGTGGAAATTGCAGCAGATTCAAGATGCAGCCAATCATTTGCAGCAAGCTATAGGCTATATTGATAATGTGGACAAACATTATATCTTTAGGTATATTATTATCTAATTTAGATCAATAAATAAACCCAGCAATGTATGATTCAGTCCATGTTTCTTGTTTTGTTATTAATTGTATAGATTAGATAAAAATGATTCTTTTGTTGTGTGGGTCATAGCATCAGAGGTCACAACCCAAGATTTAGACTACTGCTTAATTTAGCTAATGAATGATACTTCAAATATTAAAATCATGTTTAAACTTATTACAGATCGTCCGAAGAAGTCCTACATATAATACAATGTTTACTCGGCTCTCTGCAGAGAGCACGCACTGCCTTAGTACTTCCTAAGAAGAAAGCTATTGATGAGCTTATGAAAAGTAGAAATATGGTAAGTATTCTGAGCAATACTTTTTCATTTATAACCATAACATCTATTGCGAATTTTTTGGCATGTAAATGTGTTTTTGTTTGTACTTTATGTATACCATGAGCATGAATATTTATCACCAAAACTTGTTATTTCCTGTTTTTATGGTACCTAAAGTATACTGATTTGATAATTATTTTTTTTTAAAGAACACCATTGAGTTTGATGTTTCTTCATTGATTTTATACGCAAATTTTTCTTCAAACTAAGTAAAGTAACAAATCCACCGTCAAACTTACACTTAATGTTTCTCTTTCCAGAAAGCCCTATCACCTAACCTACCTGAAGACTTGGCAATATCATTCTACATACAGTCACACAAGCTGATATTTGTTGCGTACCAGCTGAGTTCGGTTCACGGGACCATGAGAATTGATTCATGCCAAGCAGACTGTGCAGTGCCATGGCTTAGCGATGTGCTCTTCATGCTAACAGCAGCACTTCACATGTGTCAACAACTTAAAGATAAGGTGAGAATTTTATTTTGTTATTATAATTTCTGAGGCTTACTTATTTTGTACTTTTTTAATTAATTAATTGACTTGCTGTCATGCAATGCCAGAACCTCCAGTCTCTAAGGTACTTTAGCTGTGCTATTCAAAAGTAATTAAATAGTAATGGACTGAAATTATACCTATGTTACTCAAACTTTGCCTGTGCCTTCGTCCACATATAATATGGGTGCAGGAAGCCGTTATCGTGTTTTATCTTTAAACTATATCTGATTATGGAAAAGAGTAACCTCAGTTTATCTTATAAATGAGATTTTTATCAAATGTTAACCATGCCTACTCAAAACAATTTCGAAGTCTCCTTAGAGTAGGCGCACACTGTTGATTTTTAGTTGGCCGATAGTTGTGCCCGATTTTAATTTGTATGAAGAATCAGCCAAATCGAATCGGCGTAGTGTACGCACTCCCATACATGCCCATACTGATCAACTGCCCGACTAAACTATCGGCCGATGAAAAATCAACGGTGTGCGCTCACTCTTATTCTCTCTCTCTCACAACACTAAATACCTGGTTAATTTCTGTACCGTACAGAAAATATTAGCAGGAATTTAAATTATAACAAATGATTAGTCATCTAGCAGAAAATAGGAAGTAATTTATTTCTAGGCCTGAGAGCAGTAATGCTTGAAATAGATGTTTATTATCTTGCACCATTTTAAAATTTAGCTCATTATAATACAGTCTATTTTTGAATGAAAATAAAACTAATAGTTTAATGGAATATAGGAAAGTAAGGTGTGTTATCTGAACCTTGCCAATAGATAAGAGTGACATAAGATGATAAGATTTTGGTAGAACTATTATGATTTTATGATAAAGCAGTAATTTTATAATAAGTTAATATAATTTTATGTGATAAATGATCGATAAGTGCTTTGATGTTACTGCGATTTTCAATACGTGCGTTTTTTGGGAGAGATAAAAAGTTGCTTATAGTGTAATTTTTTAATTGTGTGGTTCATAAAATGTTAATGAATGTTTGGTTTTACTTTTGGTCATACATATTTTAATCTATATTTTTTAAAATACAATTAAAATTTTGGTCCTCTTTTGATTCTTTTGTTTTTTATGGGGTTATTAAATTATAAATTAATGGGGTTGCATTTCAATATCTAGAGCACCAAACAGCATAACTTTTTAAACATTTATCCTAGGAATGATATGTGGGCCAGTACTGGGAAGAAGCTGCAATACTTTTAGATTAATTTTATATTTTTTCTGTTACAGCTTTGTGTATTCTCACAGTACAAGGACTTCACAGTGGGATCGAGATCAACCTCTATGGTATTAAACTGAATCCATGTTACCTGATTCTCAAGTGTTTGTAAGCTTATGTACTATTTATACTGTACATGTATTTATTTAGTAATAATTATCAAGTCCATTGTTGATTCTTGTTGAGTATGTTGTAATATAGCATAGGTAATATACTAATAATTTATTGTTATATTTAATAGGATGTATAAGCAGAGGTAAGACCTGTCAAAGTTATGTTCGAAGGTGTATTGGACAAATTCTGTGTCCAATATCTGTATTAGAATGTGTTATTATTATTTAGTTTTATTTGGGTACATATGAATGCTTCTTAAGTTGGATCTGTGCATTTTAGGATTAATTAATTTAAACATTTCAAATATTTTACAATGCAGTGCTGTTCATCGAAAAAATTTAATAATTATCCGATATTTGACTATAATTTGGTACAAATAAATAAACGTGCCATCTCTGAGCTTTCGGTGTTGTTCCTGTTTACTAAAGAATAATTAGTTTTGTTGGTTTTTCTAGTAGGTTCAATCAATTTATTGTAAATATTTAAAACTGTTTTCATTCTTTGTGTTTCCTTGGTCGAGCTTTTGTATTAATCAAATTGGATATAAATTAAAGCGTATTTCACAAACATCACGATTTCGCTTAGGTGCACTGCAAGGGCGTTATACAGACCCACTATTATATCTTGTGATTGTGAAAGCTAATGAAACCTCTTTCGTATGTAATCGATGTACTTTTATTGGTAAGTGCACAAATATAGATCTGAAATGTTAAAAGGGTTTCGATGCAACTTGGAGCAATAAGGCTTCTTTGAAGTAATGTATATTGTAGATAAAATATAATTAATGTTGAAGATTTCATGACCGTGTATCATTAATGTTCAAATGTTCAACAATCAAAGAGAAACTTCAATTTAAAATATCGTTTATTTATACAAAAAAAAAAAAGATTAACAAAGAAAAACGTTCCGTAAAAATAACCTTATCCAATCGTCATTGCATGATAGTTACATTGTAAAAATCTAAACTGAATATTCATGTCCATCACAGTATGTCAAATTAATTTAACACTGAAGTGATTTCGCCTCGAATTCATTCTAATGTAGTCAATTAATTAAGTTCTTCAAACTAATTAACTTATTCAATTTGTCAACGTATAGAGTTAAAAAAATATGTGATACATAACGTTTAATTCTAAGGTCTATCTAAATTAATCTTGGTAATGATTGTCTCGGTCACCTGCTTGCCGCTAGAGCGCTTTCAGTAAAAACTTGATGGAAGGATTTTTAAACAGAATGAGGGCTATTGTTTTTATACCTATCAGTTGGCACTGACGTATGACAGGACCTTACTCGTGAGCTCGTCACCTCACTCTGCAGTGGCGCCACCCTGGTGACTGCGAATGCGATATTCCTCATACCGCTTCAGCGCTCACCAGATGGCGTCACTATCCTTAGCCGCTAGCAAGTGATAGAACTATGGATAGAACCTTGCTCCACTGTGCAGCAGTGGTGCCAACTGGTGAACACAAACGATAGCGCCCATTGTGACGTCATTTTATCTCTCTAATTAATTGATTTTAAAACAACTAAAAAGTTAAAAGAAGTATGTAGTTACCTACAATTTTTTTTGAGAAATTGTGCCTTGCAATGGTTAATTTATCGCCGGGAGTCTAGCTATAAAGATGTATTAAGAAATACGGATGTAGATCGCACCGATTGTCAGCGGAAACATAGCGCAAATATGCTATTTATCAACTCTTGCGCAGGTTTAAAAACTTCTTGATTAATAGTGGCCGAGAGTAAACGAAAATCTTCTATGTGAGTCTGTCTTGACTTTGTCCTATAAAGGTATATAATTATACCATTCTTTAAAAATAAAATGAATATTGAACTAAACTAGCTTTTTGGTGTCAAAATTCATCTGTAAAATAATATTTCAAAGCGATAACACTATGATTACAAAAAATCTAATGTTAAAATCGCTCTATTATGAATATAACTAGTTACGCAATGTATGATAATAATATTAAACAACAGAATTGGATATCGTTAATATTGTATTTTTGTGCACTTTTAATAATTCATAGCAAGATAATGAATTGTTATCGTAATTCCTGAATAAAATCTTTAAACGTTGAATATTCTTGTAGTGAATGTAAAGTACCCAATTAGGAAATGCATTTATTTAAATTACATGTTTTTGTTGCTATGATTATTTAAAATGTAAGAAGATAGTATGAAGCGATAGATCACCATCATGATCAAATTTATTTGACATGTTCGACAATAACAATCTTATACTAGTATTATTAGATAGTCTCAAGACTACTTTAATTGTATGTACCTACTGTATAAACAATTCTTGTGATTGTGTTGTAATCTTGTATTTCAATAAACCAAAATGCTGTTGAAAATCCCATCGTCTTTTTCTCATAGCTTGGGGCAACTAACCAGACAAAGCAGACCGACTTTTAGTTGGCCGATTCTTTATACCAATTAGAATGGGCCCAACTATCGGCTAACTAAAAGTCGGTGGTCTGCGCCTAGGCTTATTCATAACTCCAGTAACAGGTTCGATTCCAAGTCAATTTAGTTCAAACCTCCAGTCATTTGTCTCGCATATCCTAGATAAGCTTCAAAAGCAATAATTCAAATAAATTGACCGCCTTGCGGTTTACAGTGTTGAGTCGGGCAGTTTTATTCAAAAGCGGACAAGCATTGAACTTAGTCGTAGTTAGAGATGGGTAGTGGGTAAAAACCCATTTCACCCGATTGGGTTTAAACCGGGTGATTTGGGTAAAAACCCGGTTTTTACCCATTATCACCCATTCTGGCGGGTGAAAACAAAAATAGCGTTTTTTTAAAGTGAGAAATGGTATTTGTTGCTAAGGGGGCGTTCTAGTGTTACGTAATGCAATCTGGGGGGAGAGGAGGTCTTGAAAAACGTTACAATGCGTTACAGTGGCGGAAGGGCGGTCGATTTCAAATTTTTAAGCAGAAGTACTTTGTAGTTGGTGTTGTTATTTGTAACTTTATACCGTAATGTCATCAAAGAGAGTGTTTGGCATCTTTGGCATCCCCCCCTCCATGTCCTTGCCATTTTATTTTATTTTATTTTATTTTTCTTTATTCAGAAAACCACAGCTCTTTATAATAATAATACAAACAGGTATTTTTGTTCTTACAGCCAATAATGGATTCTATATATTATTACAATCTCGTAAAAAACAGTCAAAGGGGCAAAAAAAAAAAAGAAACATAGGCTTGCATGCAGGTTGTGTGTGTGTATGTGTGTGTGTGTGTGGTGTGTGTGTGTGTGTGAGTGTGCGTGAGTTTTCATTTACCTAATAAGTCGCAAATCTCCCTCTTGAAAGAGTGCCTGGACGTGCAAAACAAATCGACTTGACTAAACTTTTTGTTATAAATGCGGTGCATTCTGCATACCACAGAATTTTGGGAGTAATTACTGCGAGACAAAGAACTGCTAAAAAGCTTAGTATGTCTAGTACGGGTGCGAGGAGCACCAAAAGTAAGCGTTTTGGATGCAAGGTTAAGGCTGTCTATGTTGCTATTGCAGATGTTATAAAGAAAGGTCACGTCAAGTAAACAACGACGGTCTTCAAGTGACATAATATTTTGGGATTTACAAGAATCCTCGTAATCTGACCACATGCGGTATTCGCGGTAGTTAAGATGCTTTACAAATTTATGCTGTATTTTTTCTATTTTGTGAATGTGGGTGACGTATTGGGGATTCCAAATGCAGCTACAATATTCTAATACACTCCTTACATAGACGTAGTAAAGGATTTTTAGACAATTTATATCCGTAAAAGGTCTACTTACTCTTAAAATGAAACCTAGGTTTCGAAAAGCTTTAGCCACCATTGTGTCTATGTGCAAATNCACCATTTTATAAAATAATTGGTCACAATCATCATAACGTGATCAATTTTACGATTTGGCCACGATATAAATGCATATTAGTGTTAAATTACACTTATTACTTATTAATCAATAAACTTAAATGAGAAAAATTCAATAAAAATAAAGAAAAGATACCAATTGAAATAATTATAAAATTATTTGTTTTCACCCGGTGTAAACACCCACGGGTGGAATGAAACGGGTTTTTATTGGGTTTTTACCCTCATGTGGGTTTTTACCCGGGTGGAAACCCATCTCTAGTCGTAGTAGGTATATCTGCTGAGTAGTAGGTGGTATACATAGTTTACAACGGGTATTTAAAAAATAAAAATGTTTCGCTATAAGTTTATTCTTTCTAAATAGTTTCTTTTGAACTTTGATTAGAACAAAATTATTTTGAAAGAATAGTGAATAATCTAACATTCCTTTGCTTAAAAATTGTAATATGAAAAAAAAAAATACATTAGGGATGTTTTGTTAATATCAAATAATTTTTAATCGATTTAGTCAAATCGTATAAACTTAATGTAATCGTATAAACGTATAAATAGCTAATGATAAAATATGTTTTATTGTGGTACTTAGAAAATTATCAAATCACAAAACAAAACCTTGAATATACAAGTAAAGGAAGCTAAGGTAGAATTGATTTCTTCCAAGCGGATATCATGCTCGTGGAACAAGGTCCATTACCCCAATTGCGGTAAAAATTTTCAGCTGCAACGCTATTGGACTACTAACGATAATCAGCTTTTTGACAAATCCGTATCACGAAGTTTAAACGTAAACGGAATGCTACTGCGCCTTAACACAAAAGCTGTCAGAAAGTTACTTTATCTCAAACGCAAGGTAAACGCTTCACGCACATTTACTGTATTTTGGTAATTTTAGTTCCAAAAATCTTTGTAAGCGCGTAAACTTGACTGTGATACCGAATTGCACATCAGTTGGAAAGAAAATGGAGCGTAACTCTGGGCGGAAAACTCTTAATAGTGCGTTACAGGGCCCCGATTACGCTAAAAATTTTCATCTTCAATGTGCCCGGACGACGAACAAACATCAGCTGTTTTGACAAATCCTGAAACGAAGCATAGACGTAAAACGTAAAGCTAAATATCTCATGTGACAATGAAAATACTAGGAAGGTACGTCCATTACCGTGATACCGAATTTGCACCTCAGCTGGAATGAAAAACCGAGCGCAACTGAAGAAGAAGCGTGTATGTATTGGAGACGTTAAAAATTAGCGTAATCGGAGCACAGAGCCCCGATTACGGTAACTTTTATAACGTCTACAATCCAGACGCGTTTCTGATTCTGCGATACGATTGGTCAAAACAGCTGACGTACGCTGTTGAACGACCAATCGTATCGCAGAATCGAGAAGCGTGTCTGGATTGTTGACGTTAAAAATTACCGTAATCGGGGCTCAGGACATACTGTGAAAATAACACTTATTGATGTATCATCTTCAGTCAGCGCGATCTGTAGAGGGGTGCCTCAGGCACCGTACCTGCATTGCCTGCCACCTGTTTGTAGCGGTGAATCGGTACATGTCACATTATTACAATGACAATAAATCTGAATACTGATTTCATTCGATTTTTTAAAATAGATCATGTATTCGATTTAAATCATTACAAAGACAGCCCTACGTTTCATACGTCGTTGCTATTTGTCACTGTCAAGATTGTCAACTTTGTCAAGTTTGTTTTCACTTTATTTTTTGTTTGATTTTCACGCAAATTACAGAATTATTGTTAAAATTATTTTTAATTTATGACTTCATTTCACGAGAAAATATTATGACGATCATGGTGCGGAGAATAGTGGGCTGGTTTGGACTAATTTCCATAATATTGACGGGTTTGCTAGGTGTTGGATGGTATTTAACAATTCTTACTTTTATTGTTACGTTTCTGATAGGGTAAGTTACCTTTATGTTTACTTTTTAATCTGCCTATATTTATTATGAAACCTTAGTTAGAAGAAGAAGCTAGAGTTAAATTATTTCTGATGTTTTAGACTTGAACAATACAGATACTACGTCTGTAGTGCTTCAGGATAATTCACCGCCCCTAGAAAGTACTATTAACAGTTAACTATAATGTTCATTTCTTTTCAGCGTGGTTACAATTTTATATCTCAATTATGATAGTAAAAAAATATTTACTGTGGATTTAGACAATTTGGACGACCCATTGCAACAGACAAATTTTTCGATCCGACTACCAAAAGTAAGTAACCAAAATACTATGTCTCATACATAAAAACAATTCTAAGCTTTTATTATTAAATTCCTTTTTCTTTGCAGGTTTTAGAATTATTTCAGTCAAACGATTCATTACCTAAGTTTGATAATAGAATCACAGGCAGTGAGACGGTCGACTCTTTTATAAATGAAATAATAAATATAATTGTTAGTGATTACGTCACGCCATGGTACGAAATATTGACCAATGATGAGGAGTTCACCAATTATTCTATTAAACGATTGGTTTTGGCTACAGGAGTCAATGTCTCCAACAGGTAATTTATCTGGAATATTCCAGTATTAATGTAATAATATCAATAGTTGTACTTGTCCTTATTTGATATGCTAGATTAGCAATATATGACTTGTTATAGCCAATTTTCCTGGAGATCATGATGTTATAATAAAATAATGAAAATAATAAGCTTCATGAATTAATAAAGAAATAATAAATCTATATTCTCAATAAATATTCAGTAGTGGTTCAGAATTTTCTAAACAATTAGTCTAAAAAACTAAAAAGTATCTTTTTATCTGTTCCATGATTGACATTGATTTATTGAAATCATCACATGTTATTGCTACTTCTACTCTTTAATTAACGTTTTCAGGGTCAAAAGTGTGGACTGGATCTACCTCCTCGCAAATAAGTTCCCAGAGGAGCTGACGATGCATCTCAAGCTGTTCAAACAGTCCAAAGTTAGGCTCAAACACATACAGCTGTTGAGTGCTAAAGAAGCCAAAGATATGACTAACGGTAGTTCTAAACCAAGTCCCAAAAAGCAAGAGGACAAGAAAATGCATAGGAGGAATAAGAGTGAAACGGACTTGTCGTGGCCTCCTGGTGAGAAATTGATACTTCTAAATGTAATTTGTTTAATTAGGCTTTTGTTTTATTAAGTTTGGTAACTTATACAACACAATTAAGTATCTAAATAGATACTTTTGGAATTATTCAATCTTAGTAAAAAAATGAGGTCAATAAGAAGAAAAAATATTTAAAATATTTTTTGTTTGTTTCAGATTCACAAACTTTTGGAAAGTCAAAATTTTACGGTAGTAACGAAAGTTTAAATGGTAAAACGCTGACAGATCTTTTTTTCGATCTGGAATGCTCTATAGAGAACAGGCAAATCTGTAGAGATACGTTTTGTATTGACACAGAACGCGAATATGGTGAGCAAATGTGTATTTTAGAACAATATTATACAAATAAAATGGCTTTATAATGTACTAGCGACTCGCCGCGGCTTCGCACGGGTGCTAAGTAACCTTCCTCTTAAATCACTCTATCTATTAAAAATCCGTTTCAAAATCCGTTGAGTAGTTTTAAAGATCTAAGCATACATAGGGACAGACAGCGGAAAGCGACTTTGTTTTATACTATGTAGTGATCTAAAAATGATTTCTGACTTTAACTAGCCTAGAATGCGCGAAATTATATCGTTTCATCGAGGCAGTTTTTTGATTTGGACAATAAACCAAATGTATTCGTCTAAAATCGACGATAAGATAGTACTGTGGCGCGCATCTTTCGCAAACATAATTGTATCCTAAGTTGCATATATGTAGTTTAAAAAAAAAATATAACAAAGATATTTTATTTCAGCGTTGCTCTGCGAAGTGTCAGAGGCCATCCTCTACTTGGTGGCACCCGAAGAAGCGTGGAAATGTCACGCTCTAAAGATAATATTAATCGAGCTGCTGTCCGCTGTGGTATTGAGGCCACTGATCAATCTACTGAGTGACCCGGACAATATAAACAGGACCATTATACGAACTGTAAGTGACAATATCTTACTAATATTATAGATAAGTATAGAAATAAATCTGTATGTTTGTTTAAACCACTGACAGATGTTAAAAAATATTGATAAAAAAGTAGATTAGATTTGGGTGAGGGTACTTTTTAATTTATCTTATTTAACACGTAGGATGCTACGCGGCTGACCGGTGAGCCTCGAACAATAAAACTTCTATTATGTTAAGACTGAAATATCAAGATAATGAGTTTTGATTTGCATAAATTAGTATGATATATTAGTGAGCACCGAAATAAACGCGGGTGAAGTCGCTGGCCGATGTTAGTCAATAAGTTGAGCGACATTGATATGTTCATTGAACTCAAAAGATAAGCAACTAAGATGCGATGCTTAATAAGTGTCAGTGTATTGACCTAATATCTTATGATATTAAAATTATTAAAACATTCGACTTGCAATCAATAAAATGTCTTAAATAGCTTTAGTCATAGTCAAAGTCTAGTGGCTTTTAAAATTAGAGTTTCGTTATCTATGGCATGAGTACGTACTTATGGCGTCTTCGATGGGTTGGTAGCGCATAGAATATCAAAGGATTTAAAGAAGAAAATAATTTCCCTTTAAAGTTTTAACACACATATTATAATATTTTTAGAGTTGTCGACCTTTAAAACTTTGACACACCTATTATTCTTTTATTTAGTGCTGTCGGGACTCCAGTCTGCCTTCCGAGGTATTCCTACTAGTTATAAGATGCTGCGGGGACGCCGAAGAGTTGGACGCCACATTGGAGCTAGTCCAGAAGGATATACAGAAACTAGTAAGAATCCTATTAATCCACTTACAAATTAAAGTAATCCAAAGATAACATTTTTGGTGATAGTAATCGTACAGTGTGCCACAGTTCCAGCTAAACATTTACGTTTTTCTTTCGCTTTCGTCAAAATAGTAATTCTTTGCGATAGAATGAGACGACATGACCGGAAATGCCTAGCTGAAGCTGTGGCCCACTGGTACATTGCATTATACGCACAGCATGTAGCTGTCGCGCTCGCACACTCACTGCGGGCATCCGTCGTACAGTCGCGACAGCAATATAATTACGCGCGAGCGATAAGGATGGGTAGCTTGGGGTCATTGGACAAAATTCTACGTGCTCACAGACCAGACTATAGACGTTTTTTAAAGTTGTTCTTTTTTATCACAACACATTTTTGTACACTTGAAAAAATAATAGAAATTCTAATTTATGAACAGAAAGAACTTCGATTCTATCCAGTGGGTGATTTTTTTCTAATGACGTCACTAGTAGTTGTGAAGCTAAATAATTTTATTTCTTTTAGCATTCAAGAGACAGTGTAGGCGAATGGGAGTTTCAAGACCGCCAAAAGCTATCGTCATTACAGTACCTCACAAGAATCATACAAGCCAGGAGAGCAACTTTGGGACCTCAGGAAGGTATGAACAACTTATTGAATTAATTTCCATTGTGCACCGTATTACCAAGATGTACAGTATATTTTAAGTTTGTCAATTTTTAAAAGAATCGCATTCGACTTTTCATTGATCAATGAAGTGATTTACTTTCTACGTTAATTATGCAGACTGAAAAAAGAATGTTTCAGGTGCTACAAGTACTGGGAGCACAGAAAAAGTGTCGGAAGAAGTTTCGAGAACACTAAAGTTTTTGAGAGCGACTACAGCGTGGAGATCAAATGCGCAATACTTACTTGAAATAGAACTGAACGAAGCTGGTATGTTTAAATGAGATTTTCTCCTTAGATGTAATAAAAAACACAAAAACTGTATAGGTCGTACAACAGAAATTGAGGCGAAAATCTACTCACACTGATGTAATATTTGAATTCAGAACACACAAATCGGTCAGAATACGTAAGACGTCAGCGCGATAAGCGTTTAGCAATAAAAATCTTTGCTTGTGTTGATCGGCTCATGATCAACTCGTATTGAGCGACGTATAATAATGGCTGTGTTTTTTTTTTACACAGACGCAACTCACACATCAAAAGCGGTCATAGACAACCTCAGGTCGTCGGCCCTCGAGCTCTGTGATCTATACCTGTCTCCAAACAGACCCCCAGTCATAGGAATACCTGAGAACTGTTATTCGGAACTGGTGAGGAAGATCAACACAGATGGGGAAGAATTCACAAATAGCCCAGTGTTGTGTTTTGATGACGTGCAAAAATGTGTCTGCGATGCTTTGGAGGCAAGTATACGTAATACATAGACTATACTTTATCGTCAGGTCATTTATTTTTCAGTGCAAGAAGACGACTAATTTCTAATTTGTATTTTAGGATGATCCATCTTGGCAAGCTGATTTTATGATGGACGCTGATGAAAACCAAGAAAAGATGAGCTAGTAAGCAATTAATATTTTAGAGTTTATAGTTTTTTTTTAAATAATAAGCAACACAAAAAAGAAGAAAAACTTAATTTAAGTATTTTTTTTGCAGTGAGACTAAAAAAGAAGAGAAAAATGATAAGAAATATACTGGTAAGTCAAGCATTATCATTCTAATTTTGCTTACGTGCTTATGACTTTATGGATATTTCGATATCGATACTCCACTAAAAAAAACGACATACGAGAATCACATTCAGATATTTTTATGCGAGAAAAATCACGTTATCAAATTTTGACCGCACCCGTGCCCTTAAATTCACGGGCACGCGTTCTCTTCAAACAAAAAACGCTCTTAACTCCCAAAAACAAAGCACATAATCTTGTAATCTGCAGAGAAATGCAAGAAAATTGTGAAGACATGCCTGAACCAGTTGCCAAGGCTTTTCTTCAAGTCAAAATACAAGTATGAGCTCATGAACAAGTCTTCCACATTCCCTCGCTCGCTCACTCGAAGAGTACCAAGTAACAAGAACCACACACTACCTAAATGCAATAATTTTGGTAGTAAATTTTACAATACATATAGTTGCACTTTAGTTTTTAGTTTAGTTCTCTGTAGCCTTATTATGTTGGTAGTGGGATGTATAATAATGTTGAATCTGATTATTTGTTTATTTATTTGCATAATCATCCATATAAATATGTCAGCCGAAGCGATATTAAGTTCTTATGTTGTATTAACAAAACGATATAATACATTGTAAGTTGTTGCTCATTGACGAAGTAAAGAACGAATGAGTAAATACAACCGTATAAGAATGTTTCCAGGATATTCCCAAATTATTATTATTTAAGTGCAATTACCGAAGACATAAATGCATTATTTGAACTCAAGTTAATGTACAAAAGTTGTCTTTTGAAAATGTGTAAAAAATTCAATAACAATTTCTGATGTTTTTGCCCCATCGGTATAATAAATGATCTCTCTATCTATTCTAGTTGCAAATCGTAGGTAATTCACTAATTGGTCTGAGACAAGAATACATTTTAATGCTCTAAAAACACTTTGTAAAGCGTTTTGCACGTGGTTCTGTTATTGGGTGTTAGCACACGAGTGATCGTATTCCCGCTTGAAGAAGATTCTAATCCCTTCTTTCTGTTCTTCTATAATTTCCTATTATTTTTAAATCTATTAGTTAATTATTTATTTCTTTCAGTTGTATTTATTTCTGTATTACTTGTGTTGAATGGTAGATTATTATTGATTACTTCCTCAGTGATTATCTGTTTGAAGAGTAAGTTCCTGTTTTTTTTCAGGCGAAATGTTGCCCGTACCTGGATCGAGGCATAACCGATCACGATCAGACATTGTGGGTAGTTTTGCTCAGAAGATGATCAATGAGAGTGCAGGTTTGTTGATGCTGTAAGATGTGTTCTATTCTCATTCTTGTTTTTATTACCATTAAGCTCAAAATAGTCTGAAAACTGGACCTATTTGTAAATTATGTCTTCTTCCAGGCCCATCTAACATGGCGTCGGCTAACGCGAGCAATCTGTCGCTGTCACATTCCGAAATTAGTCAAAATGCTAAAAATCTGATGTCTCCATTATCAGCGTGTATCATTGAAACAGGTAATTATTAAATATTTTTATACGTAAAGAAGTCACATACAAGATACATTTAGGCTTGGTTGCACCATCTTTCTTTAACTTTGACAAACTTCAAAAATCTGTCTCCATACAAAAAACACCGGATATCGTTAAAGTTACGGTCAGTTTTAGGTGGTGCAACTCAGCCTTATAGTTCATTCATTTAGGATAGACCGATGTGACGTGGATTACAATGTTCATTCGTTCATTTCAGCCAAATACCGTCCACTGCTCGATAAAGGCTTCCCCTAAGGATTTCCACAACGATTATGCTGTCAAATAATTCGATTCAAAACAGATATTACGGACATATGACAATAAACATAGAACCTATACGCATTTTTTGTCTATGGTTTGGTACTTTCAGCTCTCGTCCAAGACAAGGGTCGTGCATTTGGGATATACGCTATAGCAGTGACTAGATTGTCTGACAACGAGCTCTGGCATATCTACAGGAGATACAGTGACTTCCACGATTTGCATTCGTCGATCAAAGACAAGGTAAACGTCACTATTTCTATTATACATCGATTTACAGTTATTTATCGTAGTGCTGTCCTTTTTGGTATATTAAGGTTGGAAAGAAATAGATTTCTCAATTCAGAACTAGCTGTTCATGTTATGTTGTCTGAAAGTTTCGGACGTTAACAAAGAAAACAAAGAAAAGCTAATTTATTCATACTTATAAACATTTCATCATCGTCATCATCATTTCAGCCACAGGACGTCCGTTGCTGAACATAGGTCTCCCTTAATGATTTCCACGTTGCCCGGTTGGCAGCGGTCTGCATCCAGCGCCTTCGTACTACCTTTATGAGGTCGTCGGTCCCACGCTGCGTTTTCCGGTACGTGGCCTTCACTCCAGAACCTTGCTGTCCTATCGGCCGTCAGTTCTGCGTACTATGTGCCCTGCCCATTGGCACTTCAGCTTGCTAATGCGTCGGGCTATGTCAGCGACTTTTTTAGTTATTTTGTAGATATTTAATATCTGGAAATCGAACTTAGTCTCCCTTATTACAAAAAGTAAGACTGGTTGAACTCTGGAAATGTCATTTTAAACCAGTGTTCGTCCCGGGCTTAACTCTTTTGTAATAAGGCCCAAAGTGTTTAATTTTAAGAATCTTTGCTTCATAATTTTCTCTTTTACTAATAAAAGAGTAAACACCCACCAAAAATCAAAATTACATGACACAGATGATGGTTTTCGACAATATTCGTTAGAAAAGTTGCCATTTTTTACGTGGATTATTTATTTCCAGTGGCCAGAACTCGGCAACCTTCCGTTCCCAGGCAAGAAAACGTTCCAGAACACTTCCCGATCAGTCCTGGAGAGCCGTAAGCGAATGCTCAACAACTACTTGCAAACGCTCGCGAACCTTGCTCGCGAGACGCGGTATATGGCGCTGCTGTCGCAAGACTACTTAGGCGGTTTCTTGAGTCAGGAGATACAGACTGAGAAACATATTAATGCGGTGAGTTGAGTGAAAGTCCTATTTAATATTAAACATATTACGCACTCGTAACACAAGCATATTTAACTTACCACGAGGGTTAACGGGTTCATTAGTAATCTATATTTACAAAAAATATTTTAAAAAAGTAAAAGAATGGATGGATATTTGTTACTCTGTCAAGCAAAACCTTCTGAACGGATTATGATGAAGTAGTTTAAGAGCCAGTGAAAAATGAATGTCAGTTTTCTCCTGGTTTTTAAAGGGGGACATTCGCGTGACATAATATTTCTGTGACAGACCGAAAATCACAAGGGCGGAGCAGCAAATACTAGTACATTGAAATCATTTTTTAGCATGTAGATTAGAACATTTTTTTTATTTTCAGCTCGATGTACTGTTTGTGAACCCATTAAAAGCTGGAATGAGGACGCTGAAAAACATGCCCGATCAGTTTGCGAACACTGTTGATGGAGTTATGGACGGTATGTATTTAATTATTTTTTATCATAAACTGGCCCGTAATTTGACATCGGGCTGTAGCCTCAGTTGTTCCCACATAATCGAGAAGATCAAACAAAAACTTTAGGGTCAGTGTGACATTGTTAATGTTTTTAGGTATCTCAAAAGTGTTTCAAGGCAAGAGTGAGAATTCCTACGATGGTTTGAGAAGCGGCAACTCTTCGGATGGCCAAGACGTAAGTACTAATTGTTTATTACTCATAATGTACGATACTGAAAACAATATTTCACATTTTGATTGATTCTGAATTACGTTTCTTCGTAGGATGGCGACGAAAGTATGGCCCTTAAGTTACTTGAAGAAGTGCTCGGCATCAGAGGCCTATGGCTTCGACGTCGGTTACTCGCGCCCTTACGAACGCTTATAGCAGACAGAGTCAATAAGTAAGTAATATTTGTTAACCAAATGTTATTAATAATACCATTATTTTAGCTGATTGAACTCCACTGGTAGACGTAAGCCAGCTCCAAAGTTCACGACATGGCATCTGTTTTTTCATCCAGCCACTGCTAAGTACCTATGTATTTTCTTTATGTTGAATTCGTCTGTTCATCAAGCAAAGGGTCATTACGAATAACTAATCAGTGGACAGCAAGACACAAGAACAAAATATATTGATCTAATTTTTGTTTACAGAAAAGTGTTCGAGCTCGTAACGGATGTCACGTCCCCAAGAAATGTAGTCCAGTATTTAAAGTCATTCAAGTAAGTTTGTCTTATGAATTTCGGTTATTATTAATATTTTGTCTTATAAACAACAAACAATAAATAATATAATGTATAAATCTTTATATCACTTCACATAAGTTTGTACTTTTGTGTTTTACAGGCAATGGCTGACCTTTCGTCACAATGCAAGTTATAGTAATCGTGATACAGCCACGAAGGCTAGAACGAGAGTTGCCGCGAAAGTGGCTCTGCTTGCCGCTTGTTCAGGTAATACATAATGAATCTATATATATAAAAATGAAACCCGTTTCGCGTTGTCACGGCATCACGTGTGAACGGCTGAACCGATTTCGATAATTCTTTTTTTTAAATGTTTGTGGAAGTCCAAGGATGGTTCTTACGGAAAAAAATATTAAGAAAATCTCTACGCTAAGGCGGTACGAAGTTCGCCGGGTCAGCTAGTACTTTATAATAATGATTAATAATTGTATTGCATTTTGTGGTAGTCAATGTTATGAAAAAGAGTGCCCGTGACGAAGATAGATCTAATAGTTGGATGAGCTTACAGTGACGCTTTGACCTAATTTATTATTTGTGCAAAGTAGATTTGGGTTGCCAGATGTACCGAACAGAATAACCAATAGTCAACGGGATAGTCGGGATTGTTCTAAAATACGACGTTTTGTCCCGTATTCAGTGTTTTCATTTGATTATCATACTGGTATTTATTTTCTGTATTTATATTTACTTTAAATTAGAATTACTGAGTCTTATGTTATTATTTTCAGACGACTTACGTCACATAGTGGGTTCGGACACGGCGCGGCGCGGCTTGCTGACGGTGTTCGATCTATTCCAAAACCAAGAGATCAACAGGCGACTTATATTCGTTTTACTTGAAGGTAACCAAACATTTTATCATTATCATCAGTTCATTTACCCTGAGTTGCACCATCTTAACTATAACAAACGTCAAAAGTCTCTCAACTCAGCCTGTCTCCACTATAGAAAAGGAAGGAAGATTTGATTCACTCTTCCCAAGCTGGCCAAACGGGTTGAGGGGGCACTGTTTTCAAATATTTCTCCTAGCCTCTTACGACGAAAAGACTGTTTTAAATTAGGTCGTATTTCTAGGCCCCGAAAGTGTATTATTTCTTGACGCAAGTATAATTTGTATTTATGTAGGAATTGAAAAGCGGTATTATTTCTTCAGCTTTATTTGTATGTTTCCGGATAAACCACAAGAAAAGGAAAGCCTTCGCTCCATCTTAACACAATCTTCTTTTGTTCTGTCTTGTGCAAAATCACCTTTCTTACTCATTCATTGCCTTTCACTCACTCCCTTGCGTTTCGTTTCACACTCCCACATTTATGTAGTTCTCTTCGTAGAACAATTGGTAGCAAATCAGCTTTTTCTCGTACCAAATCAGTAAACATTATAATATCTTATCTTGTTGCAGTAAGGTGCTATTTTGTACATACTTCTTTTATTAATAACTAGCGGCCGCCCGCGACTTCGTACGCGTGGATCTCGTTTTCCCCCCTTCATCTATCTTACGCGGTTCAGATTTTTTCATACAAAGGTTTTTTCCCGCTAACTCCCGTTCCCATNAGGTTTCGAAATGCTTTAGCCACCATTGTGTTTATGTGCAAATTGAATGTTAATTTCGAATCTAGGAGTACGCCCAAGTCTCTCACTGATGATGAGGGTTTTATTTTTATGCAATTTATGGTATATTCAAACTTGACGGCATTGGTTTTGCGTGTGAATGTTAAATGAGAACACTTACTAACATTGATATCGATTCTGTTCTTACTGTAGTAAACACTTAGTCTATCGAGATCTTCTTGCAAGCAGACACAGTCCTGGATGTTTCTAATTTTCATGTAAATTTTTGTGTCATCTGCGTACATTAAGAATTTTGAAAATTTGAAGCACTCTGTTATGTCGTATAAATAGCAGGCATATAAAAGAGGTCCCAGGATTGATCCCTGGGGAACACCCGTATAACAGTGTTCATAAATTATGAATGACGTGATTTACGTAATGGTTTTCAAACTTGAACGAGATGTGAAGTCGCCGACAACCGACAAAAAAGTCGCCAACCCAAGGCGGTGATCGGTGAGTCAGCGAGTTTGGTGTGTAGACTGTATTTTTACCCGACTGCGCCAGAAGGAGGATTATGTTTTTAACAGCCAATTCCAGGAACTCTACATCCAGAAGTTCTAGAACTCTAGACGCTTCTCACCAATCTGATCACACGCTGCTCCGAATGCATAGAAATGTCACCCGCCCACAAATCTTATCGACTGCAAAGAGAGTTTGAAATATTACGCCTTTGTTGGTAAAATGAAGTTTGGAAATGTTAGCGACTTATAAAGTGTTGGAAGATTTATACTTACTATCTTGCATAATATCTTTATGATACTAAACTATGTTGAAAAATTAAAATAATAAAAGTTGCAGAAAGTTTTATAAAGTAAACGCATGTAAGTTAATTTATATTTATACTAGCTTATACGTGCGACTTGAGCCACATGAATTTCGGTATGTCATTCTGACTTTCACGTGCCTGTCGCTTTTCATAAACAGAGATAAAAACGTTACTATGTTTCTCCCTAGGTCTCAAAGTATCTCCATACCTTTAATCTAAATCGGTTCAGTAGTTTAAGCGTGAAAATGACACAGAGCAACGACAACGTCGGTCCTATAGTCTGTAACAATACATTATTGTCCAACTTTACTTAAATCCAAACAGCTGAAGCTAACTATTGTTTATCTGAATAAGGCATAAACAACCCCTATTTAACCATCCGTCCAATAGTTTCATTTACAGAAAAATGNGCCTGACTTCTATTACGCAGATATGAGATAAACCACCTGAGTAAGTTACCTCGTATACCCAGTTCACAAAGTTTTCTGGCAAGTATGATGTGATCGACACGGTCAAAGGCTTTTTCAAAGTCAGTGTAGATCACATCAACTTGATTACCGCCGTCCATACTATGGAGGGTATCCTCAGTAAATAGCGCTAGGTTGGTTGTAGTTGATCTATTCTTCATGAAGCCATGCTGCTCTTGCGGAATTAAGGGAGACACTATTGGATAAATATGATTGTGAACCAATCTTTCAAATAACTTACTTAAAACATTAAGAATCGATATAGGACGGTAGTTCAAAACAGATGTTTTAGTGCCTTTTTTGTGTATGGGAACTACGTGTGCAGTTTTCCACACGTTTGGAAAGTAGCCTCCAGTAAGGCATCTATTAAAAATACCTGCAACAGGTTCAGCCAGAGACTTGGAACATCGTGAGAAGAATAATGGCGGTATATTATCAGAGCCGGCCCCTTTTGTGACGTCTAGTTTTTTTAATAGATTTAACACATACATAGCGGTGACCTCAACAGTATGAATCACGTCCTGGGATATATTATCTGATAAGTTACAACTGGGATAGACGGATGCCGGTTCTCTAAAGTTCTTAAGAAAAAAGTCATTAAACGCGTTACAAATATCTAAGTGACTGTCCAAAGTCTTATTATCATAATTCATAACACTGGGATAATCCGAGTGCCCATTCCTGCGGGATTTTACATAAGACCAAAATAATTTAGGATTAGTTTTTATATTATTTTGTGACTGTTTTATGTGTAGATCATAGCAAGTTTTCTGCAGTGCCTTCACAGAGGCTCTTAAATTAGAAAAAAGTTGGTAATCTACCGGATTATTATGAAGTTTCCAATTACGATGATGTCTTGATTTTTCTTTAATTAGATTAATAAGGCTCTTATTGTACCAAGCTGGATAAGTGCGGGAGCTAGAGATATGAGATTTTGGAACGTGCTCGTCAATTACTCTATATAAGATGCGGTAAAATTTAGCAATTATATCATCTATATCAGATAAGTCCAGTATAAAAGACCAGTCTTCGTTTAAAAGATGTTGATTAATTTGTGTGTAGTCAGCTCGCGTATATTGATATTTTAATCGCGATTGCGGTCTCACAGGAGGAATAAATAAATCAGTGGCATTGAGTTATAATGTACTCAGTGGCACATATTTCCAATGAAGGGTGATATTTGTCTTCAGTAACCGTAGGAGTGTCCGATGTGAAGTGAATGAAGTTTCCAGAGTGATATTCGAGAATATGAGATCCAAAATGCCATCATAGTGGTTTTTAATGAAGTTGTATTGAGTAAGCCCTATATAGGAAGACAATTCAATGAAATCCGATGCCGCAGACTGAAGGTCGGAAGACCCTTTTTTCAGTATTATCGGTTCTTCTGTGCTCCAGTCAATACAAGGTAAGTTGAAGTCACCTGCTAAACATGCAATGTGTATATTGTTAGAGTATTTTATGTAGTTATTACTGTATTTGTGTACATCTATGTTGCATTATGTATGTTTATTATGAGTTATTTTAATATTGTACGCGCCTTAGCCGCCTCTCACATTTGCAGCCTCACTTACTAGGTGTGCTGGAAGAAATTTATTTTTAGTAATAATCTTATTGTACGTGAACAATAAATAAATAAATAAGAATGACGTCAATTTCGAAACACCCCCTCCCCTATCTATCATTTACCGTCATTCGCAAACCAACCCCCCCCCCTCCCCTAATTTAGAATGACGTAATATATGGACGGCCCCTAAGCTTTAATCGGCTTAATCTCCCGCGCAGGTGTTGTGCGGGAACATTAAAAAACACAAATAAAACTGTCCTCGGAGGATCTATGCCTTCGCGGTTGACTTAATTGCGCTAGGTGGCGCTCTCTAAATTAGAGTGCTGGAAAAATTGCAGCTCCGTGGACGGAATAAATTACACTACGTCTGCAATACCAGTTCGATTCCCGGGGGCGGCGGGGGACAGATGATAGTGCTTACAACTTTAAGACTTGCTGTGCGAGATGGAAGAATATGAACGAGATACGAGATAGTTGTGCGTTCGTTCGTGATATTATGTCGTTTACTACATATTATAATTAGCGGTTAATACTTAAATGTATGGTCATGCTTAGCTACGATTTTCAGTAAAAAATTTATACATACTCGTGAAAAAAAATCCCTGATATGGATATCCTGGGATTCGCATATTTATCCTACCTTATACAGATAGTTCAATGTGCTTGGCTCATTCATTTCAAATCCCCTTACTTGATAAACTTGATGATTTGTGGCTATGCAGAGGGCACGTCAAGCTGAACATCTTTGGCATCTTATGTAGCCGTGTGTGTGATTTTGCAACAAAAAATGTAACCAGTCTAATGTGCTGTCGAGTATACTTAAGCGCATCCTTGGTCGCGCTGCGCCCGCGCACCGAGGAGGCTGCGTCTGACGTCTGGCCGTTCACCCCTGCCATTGATAATGATATGGCACTGCGGCTTAGATCCCGGAATGATACAATATCTTAAGCAATTCATATGTTTGGACGGGGTGAACCTAACTTTTCTTTCTGAATGCATGCCTAAAATTTTCGGCCACGTATTTTTATTCAAATGAAACGCAATCTTACCTAAGTTTGTCGCCATTACAATAACGTTGAGATTGTTGAAAACATTGTTGTGGTGTTTCGGTAACAGACTGTCTTTTAGCTTGTTGCGGGGGGATTCCGGGTGAGCTCGTTTCCAAGAGATTCTCCGTTGTGGACAAAAAAAAAACATCATATTTTTAATCTACTACGAGATAGTGACCAAGATGTGTAGTCGTAGTGTGACGAATCCATGAATAAATTATCATAACGATATTTTAAACTCTGAATTAGGAATCTATTTTATAATACATATTTAAATTACTTTTGCAGTATGCTAGGAGACGCCAACATAATGACGTCTCGTCGATGTAATATTTCGCAATCTTTCGTAATAAGTATAACGAGTTCAAAACATTTGGTGTACCTACCTACCTATTTCTTCGCAATGCTTATTTTATGAGATGAACTTAGTTCTTAATTGTAGTTACTTTATAATTTTTCTACTTAAACATTTATGCTTCTAAGAGAAAATATAATTGATAGCTAAAAGTTTG